CAGCGAACTCTGGATACAAGTATCTTCTAGATTGTCTCGTAGCCAAGACACAATCTTTGCAAAACTGGTGTCAACCATTCAGCCACAAACTCCTCCTGTCCATGGTCAAAAAATTAAACCTCGCCGCTCAGACCTATCGATCCTTCAACTGACTCATCACAGGAGTCAGCAACCAAGCGTTCATTCTCTGGTGTCATCCTGAAGGGTGTGCCAGCTCAAACAACGGACAAGTAAATAGGCCAAACACGTGGATGCATTGCCAACCGTGATACTGTCAACTTGGCTTCTTCCAAACCTCACGTCAGAAGTGCTCCCGGCTACTCATTGCGGTTTTGCACACACCGAAGTTGGCTGAAACCTGAATCTGGCTGCAGCCGTCTGGTCCCGCGCTTGGTCTTGCGTTGCATCTTTCCTGCTGCAGCAGGCAAGGCTGCAACAGGAAAATAACAGCGCATGTTCAGCCAATCAGAACATACTCCGACAGAAGTAGCTGACACGCAACACATTGTGTGCACAACATTGAAAACTGTAGCTCCAGGTATGTGAAGCTGCAGCCAGTACTTTGCACCAGCAGTGTGGCTCTGCATCTGACCTGTGACAGAAATCCTACTGCAACAGGCAAATGGCAAAGCTGTCACCAAATCCTTTCCAGCTAAGCACAAGTCACCTCCAACCTCAGTCCAATAGCACGCACATCCTACGCTCAGAAACAAGCCACCCACGTGCAGGCAGCACAACCTCAATCAACTCCTGCGCAGGAAAGCCGCTCGGCAAAACCTTGCCGCTCAGGCCTATCGATCCTTCAGCTGACTCATCACAGGAGTCAGCAACCAAGCGTTCATTCTCTTATATCATCCTGCAGCTGCAACCATCTCCAAACATCCAAACATTCACCTACATCCACGTGCTACATGCCATATGGTGCCATTTTCGCATCACACATTGCTACAAAATTAGCGGATCTCGAGTATGTTGTCTCAGAACCAAGACACAATCTTTGCAGAACTGGTCCAAAATTTCAACCTCGCCGCTCAGACCTATCAATCCTTCAGCTGACTCATCAAAAGAATCAGCAACCAAGCGTTCATTCTCTGATATCATCCTGCAGCTGCAACCATCTCCAAACATCCAAACATTCCAACATTCACGTACATCTACGTGTTACATGCCATATGGTGCCATTTTCGCATCACACATTGCTCCAAAATTAGCGGTCTCTGGATGCGAATCTCTTCTATATTGTCTCATCGCTCAGACCTATCGATCCTTCAGCTGACTCATCACAGTAGTCAGCAACCAAGCGTTCATTCTCTTGTGTCATCCTGCTGATGCCATTTCCAACATCCAAACATTCACTTACATCCACGTGCTGGTGCCATCTTCGCACAACACATAGCTCCAATATCAGTGAACTCTGGATACAACTATCTTCTATATTGTGTCGTAGCCAAGACACAATCTTTGCAAATCTGGTGTCAACCATTCAGCCACAAACTCCTCCTGTCCATGGTCAAAAAAATCAACCTCGCCGCTCAGACCTATCGATCCTTCAGCTGACTCATCACAGGAGTCAGCAACCAAGCGTTCATTCTCTGGTGTCATCCTGAAGCAGCACGACGAGATCGTGATAGTGTCAACTTGGCTTCTTCCAACCCTCGCGTCAGAAGTGCTCCCGGTACTCCTTGCGGTGTTGCACGGACCGAAGTTGGCTGAAACCTGAATCTGGCTGCAGCCGTCTGGTCCCGCGCTTGGTCTTGCGTTGCATCTTTCCTGCTGCAGCAGGCAAGGCTGCAACAGGTAAATAACAGCGCTTGTTCAGTCCATCAGAACATGTTCCGACAGAAGCAGCTGACACGCAACACATTATGTGCACAACATTGAAAACTGTAGCTTCATGTATGTGAAGCTGCAGCCAGTACTTTGCACCAGCAGTGTGGCTCTGCATCTGACCTGTGACAGAAATCCAGCTGCAACAGGCAAAAGGCAGAGCTGTCACCAAATCCCTTCCAGCCAAGCACAAGTCACCTCCAACCTCAGTCCGATACCACGCACATCCTACACTCAGAAACAAGCCACCCACGTACATGCAGCACAACCTCAATCAACTCCCGCCCAGGAAAGCCGCTCGGCAAAACCTCGCCGCTCAGGCCTATCGATCCTTCAGCTGCCTCATCACAGGAGTCAGCAACCAAGCGTTCATTCTCGTGTGTCATCCTGCTGCGATGCCATTTCCAAACATCCAAACATCCAAGCATCCAAACATTCACGCACATCTACGCGTTGCATGCGATATGGTGCCATTTTGGCATCACACATTGCTCCAAAATTAGCGGTCTCTGGATGCGAATCTCTACTCGTTTGTCTCATAACCAAGACACAATCTTTGCAGAACTGGCGTCCAACGTTCAGCCACAAACTCCTCCTGTCCATGGTCAAAAAAATCAACCTCGCCGCTCAGACCTATCGATCCTTCAGCTGACTCATCACAGGAGTCAGCAACCAAGCGTTCATTCTCTTGTGTCATCCTGAAGCAGCACGACGAGATCGTGATACTGTCAACTTGGCTTCTTCCAAACCTCGCGTCAGAAGTGCTCCCGGCTACTCATTGCGGTTTTGCACACACCGAAGTTGGCTGAAACCTGAATCTGGCTGCAGCCGTCTGGTCCCGCGCTTGGTCTTGCGTTGCATCTTTCCTGCTGCAGCAGGCAAGGCTGCAACAGGAAAATAACAGCGCTTGTTCAGCCAATCAGAACAGGTTCCGACAGAAGCAGCTCACACGCACCACATTGTGTGCACAACATTGAAAACTGTAGCTCCAGGTATGTGAAGCTGCAGCCAGTACTTTGCACCAGAAGTGTGGCTGTGCATCTGACCTGTGACAGAAATACAGCTGCAACAGGCAAATGGCAGAGCTGTCACCAAATCCCTTCCAGCCAAGCACAAGTCACCTCCAACCTCAGTCCGATACCACGCACATCCTACACTCAGAAACAAGCCACCCACGTACATGCAGCAAAACCTCAATCAACTCCTGCCCACAAAGCCGCTCGGAAGAACCTCGCCGCTCAGGCCTATCGATCCTTCAGCTGACTCATCACGGAAGTCAGCAACCAAGCGTTCATTCTCGTGTGTCATCCTGCAGCTGCCATCTCCAAACATCCGAACATTCACTTACATCCACATGCTACATGCCTACATGCCTTATGGGACCATCATCACACATTGCTCCAAAATTAGCGCTCGCGGGATACAAAGTTATTTTGTATCTTTACATAACCAAGACACGATTCAAACTCCTCCTGTCCATGGTCCAAACTGTCAACCTCGCCGCTCAGACCTATCGATCCTTCAGCTGACTCATCACAGGAGTCAGCAACCAAGCGTTCATTCTCGTGTGTCATCCTGCGGCTGCCATCTCCAAACATCTGAACATTCACTTACATCCACATGCTACATGCCTACATGCCTTATGGGACCATCATCACACATTGCTCCAGCATTAGCGGTCGCGGGATACGATTTTTTTTGTGTATCTTTACATAACCAAGACACAATTCAAACTCCTTCTGTCCATGGTCCAAACTTTCAACCTCGCCGCTCAGACCTATCGATCCTTCAGCTGACTCATCACAGGAGTCAGCAACCAAGCGTTCATTCTCGTGTGTCATCCTGCAGCTGCCATCTCCAAACATCCGAACATTCACTTACATTCACATGCTACATGCCTACATGCCTTATGGGGCCATCATCACACATTGCTCCAACATTAGCGGTCGCTGGATACAAATATCTTTTGTATCTCTACATAACCAAGACACAATTCAAGCTCCTCCTGTCCATGGTCCAAACTTTCAACCTCGCCGCTCAGACCTATCGATCCTTCAACTGACTCATCACAGGAGTCAGCAACCAAGCGTTCATTCTCGTGTGTCATCCTGCAGGCTGCTATCTCCAAACATCCGAACATTCACTTACATTCACATGCTACATGCCTACATGCCTTATGGGGCCATCATCACACATTGCTCCAACATTAGCGGTCGCTGGATACAAATATCTTTTGTATCTCTACATAACCAAGACACAATTCAAGCTCCTCCTGTCCATGGTCCAAACTTTCAACCTCGCCGCTCAGACCTATCGATCCTTCAACTGACTCATCACAGGAGTCAGCAACCAAGCGTTCATTCTCGTGTCATCCTGCAGCCAATGTTCACATCTCATCCCGATTGCCATCATCACTGAACAGCACACTTTTCCCTGGCCAATCATGCTCAGGCTGCTTCATAGACCCTTCCCATGGTAAAGAGCTGGTCCTGGTTTCAGTAGAACAAGAGGACCCATACGGGTGTGTCCTTTTGTGAGGGTGCCTCTTCTTTTGGTTGAATCTTGGGGACCCGGTCCAATTCCTAGAACAAGACACACCCCTTTTCGCGCACCTGTCTACCGGAACCCGTGGGGTCTGCTTACTCGATCGCCGTTTCTCCGGCTCCACTTCTGGGGTGAAAGCGAAGCAACGTGCAAGCAGGGACCCCAGCTTTTGACACCTTTGTTGAAAAAAGAAGTCAGAGTGTGAGCCCCCGAAAAAGAATAACACAAACCTTTGAACGGGGTCCCTTCATCGTTCAAAAAGAGATGCGCTTCCAAACTCCAAAGTCGCCAAGACGAAATTCACAGTGGGCCATGTATAAGCCAATGCCACTGCCACACTAGCGATTTCTCAGCCCATTAACAAGGGGGAAGAGAAAGAGGACCAAAAAGGACCAAAGTGGACCGAAGTGGACCAAAGAGGAACTGGGGCTCCCTAATATGTTTCCCCAGGGGACGTGTTTGTCTTGTCTTATCATTCTTGTTTTCTGGGAAAGGGATTGAATTAGGAGTCCTTGGTCCAAAGACCCTTGCAGAAGGCGAGTGCCATGTGCCATGTGAACCAATCCAGTTTCTACTGCGTGTTTCTCTCAGCTCGGTGCAACCCTCCGGTTGATGGATCGGGGTCACGCCTGCCGTGCTGCTGCCGCTGCCACCAAGCCCGCGTGTTCCTGCAAAGGTTTTGAGGGCCTGAATCGGATCTTTGGACTGGGACAGGGCTGGGTCCACGTGACATCCTCACAAGTCCGCTCTTCAGAGGCATGGCACCCCTTCCTCAGCCCATGTGCCACAACACGGGAATTTCATCCCAGGTGTGCTTTAGTTTGGACGAATCGTCACTCTGGGCCCCATGGGCGACATATGAGACTTCAGCCCAGAAGACACAAAAAAAGAAGTAGTTTAGGGGCGCCACTGCTGGCCAACCACTTTGATTTTCAATTCTGCAAAAGTACCAAGAAACAAAGAAAGACACATCCATGTGCCGCGTCTTGCTTATGCACTGCATGTGTTGTTTTGCTTTTTACGAAAAGGAAAACCCGAGGCCATTTTCGGGGTCCGAATCCTACAGAAGACACGCCCAAGTCAGGGGTTATCGGATTTCCCCTGCAGCTTACTGGTGTCCATTGAAACGATCGCCGCTTTTTGAGCTTCCAATAAGGGAAGTCTTCCGTTTGCTTAAGTCTCCTGGAAAAAAATGTGAAAAATAACAAGATGTCCAGTAGTGACATCAATTCCCTTCAAAACCAACAAGGGGAAAATACAAATGTTCCTAAGCAAATGAAGAAACGGCTCGAGAAAACCGCTCCCGACGACACGTCCCAGTTCGTCCCCGGACGTCGCGCGCCTTGCGCCACGCCAGGGCTGCCTTGGCCGCCGACGCGGCTGCAGTCTGCGGCTCGTCCTCGAAGGACAGTTTCGGGGCTAAAAATGGGCGCCTGCGTTTGAGGGTGCCCCTTTGGGGCATCCTCTATTTGCGCACATACCATTTTTGTGTTGACAGAGAAAAATCCTTGGGCATTGTATAACACACACACACACACAGCAAGTCGGCTCAAGAAAGAGGAATTTCGGGGGCTCGAAATCCGTTACCAAGAGGGGCAGCACAAGGGCCCAGGCAATTACACACGTGACTCTCCTATGATCACTTACTTAGGTTTCAAAGTTCCCCACATTCTAATTCTTGACGCCCATACCCCCCACAGAATTTGCAAACCCTACAAGCTCACCCTGGACGAAAAAGGGCCCCTTGACATCAGACTTCGGGGATCAAAAATCCACAGCCGCATGATGGGGGGGGGTCAATACAGGGAGGGACCCAAACATGGAGCTCGGTCGTCCTTCTTGTCTTCCCTTCAAATCATGGCAAAAAAAAAACAAGAAAAACATGTACGCTTGAAAGAAGGCACGCCCCCAAGAAGCACCAAGCAACCGGGACCTATGAGTTGCCCTTTGGCTGTGGATCTTTTCTGAGGGCACCCCAAACAGGGGTGGTTGTCCATTGGTGCTCCTTTGAACCAATCCCAAAAAGGGCACCCACAAGACAATGACACCCTCAGACGGAGCAGCCCCCCCCCTTAAGAACAAAATATAAGAACAAATACAGAAATAAATCAATCCATCAATAAAATTAATGAAGCAAACAAACAAAAAGCAAATAAGTATAGGGGGGGGAAACGAAGCAAACAAAAGAAAGTAAAGCAGGAACACAAAATATGAAATAAAGCAAATAATCAAACAAATAAAAAACAAATAGGAATAACTATATAAATAATAACTGGGCGCTTGTGGGTTGTGTCCTGGAAGCTCAACACGTAGCGCAGCAGCCAGACCTCATCTGCAGGCTGAGCCTACCGATCGCGAAGCCGCGATCGAAAGGCTTCAACATGGGTAGACAGGTAGACCTCTGGTTGCGGATTGGGTTCAACCAAACCCCGAACCTAGAGGCCACTTTTGAGGATGCTGTTGTGAACATGTGTCTCTTTTTCTTCTTCTTTTTCGGGAGGTCTCAAATCTTAAGAGTAAACATGTTGAGGGCATGATTGTCTCAGAGTCTTGAGAGTAGACATGTTGAGGGGTTCTAAAGATATGTTTTGGGGCTGAGAAACCCTTCAACCCACCGCTTAGAAAACAAGATGTTGAGGACGTCACACTAAAATGGACGCAGTCCAAGCGTTTGTGATGAGGCTGTGGGTCCAAAAACAAGTACCCAAAATGAAACCATGGAACCAAGGGCTACTACCCGTGGTTTATTTGTGGTTTTATTTTGACCCATACCCATGGTCCAAAGTGAGGCCCACGTTCTTCGGGGAAGCCCTGTCCACTTTCGTGAGCGTTGGATGAATGGGCAATTTGCGGTAAAGGTTGCCGGTTCCCTTGTTTCCCGTGCTTCCCTTGTTCCTTTTTCCCGCAAATCTGACAATAATGTCCAAATCTACAATGGTTAAGAACAATGGTTAACAAAGAATTGGATCCCCAAACGGACCTACGTCATCAAGGGAGTTCTTTTTTCAGGCCGGCGCCAAGCTAAGGCAAAAGACCCCATCACTCTCGCATTGTCCCCAAACTTGCTGGTGCTCAGCGGGGAATGAGAAATGGAATGACCCCCAGAAACAATCCTTCATGGTTTCCTTTAAGGGGATTTCAAGCCCCCCTGGGTTCATCCACTGAGCACCAGCAAGCCAATCTGGAATCCGTGGAATCGCTCGAGGACATCGGCGGAATCGCTCTAGCCTCCAGCTCATCATGCAGGGAGGCCCGCAGGGCAGCCACCGCATGCCGGTGCCTAAGCTCCCAACTCAAGCCATTGCTTCAAAATGCGAAAACTGCACGAAACGTCTGATTTTCCTGTCTCTTGGTGTCCCTTTCAACCACAAATAAAAACTGGTGCCCAGTTGGGGGAAGATGCTCGGGTTTCCCTGGTGTCACCATGCAACCAACGCCACACACTCGCGACCTCCGAGCGGATTTTTCGGAGGTCCACGAAGTGGTTTATGTTGGCGTGGCGTTGAACGGAAAACCAACCGGAGAACTACCCATTTCGGGGGGGGTCCCCAATGTTGACAAATACAGGCAAACGACAAAGTCATGCCTACGTCACTCCTTTATCTCTGTGACCATGTGTTCCCCCATGTAGCCGATTCCAAGAAGTCACTCCTAAGTCACGCCTCGGCAAAAATCCCCATGTACCTTGGTTGTTCTTGACCCCTCCAAGAAGTTCGACTTTCCGTGGGTCCAATAGAAAATCCCCGGCTTCCCAAAAAGCCAAAGTCCAAAGATCCAACCAAATAGCCATAGAGGTACTCACTTCAAAGAACGGCCTTTTCTTTGCAGCCCAGTAAACATCAGCACAAGCACAAAGCGAAAAACGTCAAACAACTCAAACGACAAAGCCGCCGAAAACGACAAGGGTTCCCCTGATCACGTTAGGGGGCAAATTTGGGCTTTCACCTTAAAACGCTCAAGGGTGCCAACTTGTTGTCAGGGGTATACAAGTAGATCTAGACGCTTTCTGGGTGGCACATACGTGTTCCCTGCACCGAAAGTTCAAAAGGAGCGGGGCACCTGGTTAAAACCATCGACTATGAAACCTGGTAGCTCCGCAAGGCTCCCTGCTCCGTAACGGCTCCAAACCCCGACTAAAAGCTCGTTAGGTGGGCATTGGTGTCCAGCTTGGGGAGGTCCCTCCCAACCATCCTTCATGATTCGAGGAGCATCGCAAGGAACCTTTGGGCGATCCTTGATGTTGAGCCCAAATGAAAAACCAAAATGAAGAAAAGATCCCGCGTTTCCTTGGGCCAAGCGAAGGGTATACCAAAGTACTGAGCTCAGATTCTGCCTCATCTTTTTGCCCCGCGCAGATGGAGAAGACCCCACCTACCCACCTGGGGTTCTGCTCTCGGGTCTCTCTCGCCTCCGCACAGGTCACAGGTGGGCACCAAAAACCCGTCCACTCAGACTCCCATGGGCACACCTGTTGGTGGCGAAACCCCCGAAATGAAAAATTGCAGCGGCGGTCCCTTTCGCAGCGTTCAGAAACCCTCTGACTCGATTCCACGAGAAAAAAAAGGGAAAAAAACGCGGCTTCCTTCCCATTTCTTTCATGTCGTGAAGGGAAAACTCGAGTCCCCACAGCCCACAGCCCCACAATCCCAACCAAAATAGGTCCTAGAATGGGTGGTGAGTTCACCAATGGGATCCCAAAACGGTGTTGACCACCGCCATTTCGTGGTGCGAAGGGAGAAACAAGACGCCCGTCCCACCGCCAGCTAGCTCCCAGCGGCCGGAAGAGCAGATCCCCCAGCGTCTCGCGCTCCAGGGGCCATGCCATCGCGAATCGACGGCTCGCGGCTCAGATCTCCGGTGGGGTGGGCCCTTGCAAAGTCCCGTGTTTTTTTGTTTTTTTTCCCCCAACAAATAAGGCCCTCTACAAAAAGCCAGGGTTCGCCCACCTCACAAAGTCCCGTGGGCTTTTTCTCCCGAGGAAATGGGCCCGCTGCAAAAAGCCAGGGTTCAAGTCCCCAAACCGCTCGAAAAATCACCAAGTACTGTCCAGTACTGTAGGGGTTGCCTGAGAAATATGGCTCTGGGTCAGAAATTTGGCCACTCCGAAGAACCCTGGTAAGTGGAAACATGGACTACCTGTCCCCCGCGGTTTAATTTTGACCCATACCCAAATGGGCGCCAAACGGATGCGAAGAACACGGATGATGGTCTGTCCTGATCTTGTGCGATCTTGCAACTTGAGCATAGAATGGAGAGAATGTGTCTCAGCTCGGTCTATCTGGAGCGCTTCAACCATCTGCAGGTCACATCGGGAAGTCTGGCTTGGTGCTTCCGCTGCTGCGACCAGAGATAGTCGCCCCTGCTGTGGGCCATGCGAGGATCGGACAAGTGCGCCATCCCCACATGAGTCGTAATCAGAACCCGCTAAAGTGGTCTAAAGCGGAGATCCGCACCCACGGATGTTTTCGGGTTTGGGCCTCCTTCCAAGAAGCAAGCTCCTTCCGTGTGCCCTGCGCCATGTTCTCAGACTCAAATCAGGTCAACCAGCAAGGAAGGCTTGGAGGGAGAACAACAAATGCGCGAGGTCCAACTTTTGCCCACGTATGCTTGGGCCAGGTCCTACGATGGACTAAGAAACAATGGTGTCCCATGGTTTCAAAGTGATGCAGGATTTTGTCCATCCACAGTATGTCATGTTTGGAGCTGGTTTCCGTCCCACGTGCCGCAAAGGTCGGAAGGGCTGACAAGGACAGGATGAGTCGATTCCAGGTCTCCCAATCGAGAGCCATGTTGGCACTTCCGCTCGCTCACGTCTTGCGAAAAACAAACGAAACGCCCACCGGAGAGAAGTCCCAACATCCCCCGCGTTCGTTGGGGGCCCGCGGTGACAAAAGGGATCGATCCGACCTTCGGATGCGAAAAAAAGGCGGCGAGTGGACTCTCCAAATTTCCGATGGCCACTGCTTCTCCCGATGCCCGGACCCATTCCTCTCGGACCCTCGGAGCCTTTTTTCTTCGCCGCCGAGAGCGGGTTTTCGGGAGCCTCCCCTTGGAGCGGCGCGAAGCGGCTTTGGCGCTTCGCTTAGGGCAGCGCTGGCAGTGGTGGAGGCACTACGCCTTCAGGAAGTGCTGCGTACCTGAAAGGGACTCAAATCCCATCCAAAGCCCCAACTAAGGGTTACCTGACAGGTTTTGGCTTGAGGGGTTAGGGTCGGATCAGGGTGGGTTGGTTTATGGCTGTTTTAGGATGTCCAAAAAGGGAAGGACAACCAACCAGTTCAACCCGTTCAGACAAAATGTGCCTTGATGTTTCCCCGGGACATGAAAGCAGAGAGTCAACTGAAGGGGAATTCAGTTTTCTCAACCGACTCCCTTCTTTTAGATGGTGCCATGAGGACTAATTTCTACAAAGGAATCACCTTAGATTTCCGCCCGTTCCCACGTACTCCAAGTTGATCCACAGCTCCCCAAAGAACCCCCAGAGATCGAAACCAAAAGAACCCTCAGGTGTCGGAGACTCCCCCCCACAAGGAACATGCTGAGGGTCTCTGTGCCAACAATGCAAGTATTTTAGGCGCTTGCCAGACCGTCGCCTTCCAAAACCCTTCCGTCAGCATCTATGATTAAGAGCGCAAGTCCCGCAGGACAGCTCTGAGGACACTCTACCTTGGGCGTCTATATCAAGCATGCACTCCCATGCTGAGTTCTATGCCGACATCGCTAGACAGGTGGTGCTCAAAGCAGCTACAAGTTCTCCAATGGGCGCTTCCAAATGAGACTGGCTCAACACGGAGATCCCCATAAAAGAGGTGGTTGTTCTTCGGCTTTCCCTTTCAGACAAGCTGAAAAGGGCACCTCCACAAAATCTCACACGTCTTGCTGTGACCCTTGTGCGGTGCACCGTCCTCTTCGGATTGCCCACATCTGGTGGAACATTGGTGCACGTTGCCAGTCGCCTTTTGGCGTTGCCAGGCTTCCTTTTACTCATATGGAAGGAACTGGACCTGAACATGGAACCGCAAGGATCTGCAACCCAAAGGATGGGGCTTTGGGGGTTCAATGATTGCGCTTGAGGTCCCTTTTTGGCCCCCGTTGGTTCCTTTGGTTTTTGTTCCCTTTTGATTCCTGATGGTTCCTGGTTCCTTAAACCCCCGAAAACTGTCCGGAACCCTACCTTAAAGTTGCGCCGGGCTGCTCCAGAGCTTCTTTGCAGACCCCATAAACATAGGCGACCTTGTGCAAAAATGGAAGGCCCTGATAAATAGAATAGAACCAATCCAAGCAAGTGCCATCAATTCTAACCAAACTAACATAAACAGCACACCATTGGACCCCATAGCCTTCAGCTGTTGGGAAACAGAGGAAATAGACGGACGATTTTGGGAAAAAATCCCTGGTAGATTCTGAAACAACCAGGTCGACCAGGGCCATCTACCCTGCCACCAATTAACATGAAACCTGACAGGGACCAAAATGGTCCAAACCAGGACCCCCCCAACGTCGAACGGTTCCATGCTGATCGGTGGGAGGCTATCTACCCTGCCAAAAAAGAGAGAAAAAAAAAAGGGCGCCTCTGCGGACGAACCCTCCGGTGGATTCCTTGCCAGGCTGCAGGGCATGGGCCGCCGCTGCAGCCTCCGCCTCGTCGTACCACGAGGCGTTGGCGCCTCGTATCCAAGGTGAAGGAGCGGGGCACGTCTCACACATAAGACCCCTGGAACATGTTTTGTAAAAAACAAAAACATGTCCAGTAGTGATAGATTCCCTGTAAAACCAGGGGAAAATACAACAACATATATTCCTAAGCACATGGAAGGTTGATTTGCAGTAGTGATAGATTCCCTTTAAAACCAACGGGGGAAAATATATCATTAAGCAAATGGAAGACAACATGCTAACATGGAACCAACCATGAAAATGCCATCTAGAGCGAAATGGTCGTGCACCCCCATATCAGGTTCTATATTTTTGGACGGGAGAGTATATCTTGGGTTCTGCTCCACTTGTCTTCCGGAAGATGGCCGGAAACACGCAAATCGACCGCTGCTGTCCATGTTTGGTGGAGGGCAAGCCTTCTAACTCAGGAGTTGATGCAAGGTTCCCTTGCTTTTCTATCTCCGTCGAGACAAACCCGAACAGGCCACATGCCTGGTTTTCCTTTGGCTCGGGCACCCTCAACATACAACAGTGTGCATGTACATATATACATATATACATATACACATATATACATATATATATGTACATATATATATACATATATATATATATATACATATATGTGTGTGTCTCATGTTCGTAACATCGAGCATTTTCCCAACGACTTGTGTGCGTAGGTCTGCAAGATAAGTCGCGATTCCCCCTTCAGCAAGTTGTCCACCAATCATTGAGGGTGTTTGTGACAACGGTTTTCGCTCTGGCCCAGGTGATGTGAAACTGCGAAGGACGTATGGAGTTGTCTCCTTTCGGAATTCCCAACATGCGTTGCTTTCCTTTGGCGTCTTTGAAAGCCCAAAACGGGAGGGGTGTTTCTCTTGTGAAGAGTCCCTCTAGAGTGGGACACCGGTAAACAAGAAGTTGGGGGATGGGCCCTGAAAACAGGACTCTGGTCCCTAATTCCAAAATGGCCTTCCCAAGTGCGTCCATGAAAGTTGGAAAGTGCACTTGGCTTTGTTTTTGTTCGGGGCACCCCACGAAACATGTTGGTCTTCGTTTTGGCTTCCCTTTAAAATAACTACAACTATTTTATATACATATATATATATATATGTTTAAAAAACAAAAAATAAAGGTCGAATGGAAACACCATCACCTTCCGCCTTCCCACATCCACCGAAAAGCCGAGCACCGGGCGAATTCCTGCCGCCTCTCTCCTCGCGGCCTGTGCGTCCTCCTCATATCGACGCACAGCGCGGAGGCCTTCGTTCACGTTCACCTCGCGAGGGCCGCTGAGGCGACGAGCCGCGGTGAGAACGGAAGCCAATCCTCTGAGTGGTGGGATTTTTTGGGGGGGGTTCCCTCAAGTGCGCGATTTTGATGAGCATTATCCAAACCTCGCCTGGCTGGTTTTCTTGGCCACCCTCATTAAATGCAAGCCCGCTTTTTGTGGGTAAACTGTCATCCTCTTAGCGATCCGTCCCCACCCCTTACAGTCACTGCCACCCTTGGCAGTCACTGGCACGCAAGCTTAGGCTTAATTTTGACGCATACCCACTTGAGTCACAATCAAAACCTGGTATTTAAAAAGAGTCTACCCAAAACCCACCAAGGCTGCACCTACAAATGGCTACGATTATCTCCTGATGAAGGTTTTGCTGGTCCGGATTTTGCAAGGCGCAACCAGGCGAAATGCATGGTCATGCTGTGTAGTGAATAGCATGTATAAATGGTTGCCCTCCGCGCTCAAACAAATTGGGAAGTCAATAGGAAAGCCTAAAACCAATTCGGGGTCAGGGTTGGGCCTTCTCAAGTAGTCCCTCCGCAACTCATTCCTCTTTGGTCCTCTTCGGTGCTCTCTGCTTAGTACTGGTTTAGAATTGGTTGACTGTGCCTGTGAGCTGGCCCAGTACTGCTTAGAATTGGTGTAGTATTGGCTTAGTATTCCTTTGTACTGGTGCAGTAGTCTTCAGAATTGGTGTAATATTTGTGTAGTATTCCTCGGGAATGGCTCAGAAAATTGTATGTTCTCCATTTCCGCCCCCTTTCTGTTAAGGAACTGTTTGCGGCTTTCCCGCTTTAGTCAAGGGTCTCATAAAGAGTTTGGCTCTTTGGGGCCTCGGTGCTTTTGCTGGCTCAGGATTGGCTTGGTATTGGCTTTGTCTTAGTTAGTATTGGTTTAGTACTGCGTTTTAGTTTGGTATTAGCTTAGTATTGACAGGGCTTGGGATCGTGTTTTTCTCACCCCCGAACGGGCAGCCATACATGTCCCACCGGAAAAACACATCCTCCCCCTTTTGCTTTTCAGGGTGGGGCTGATTTACCTCCCCTGTGATTATTCGCTATCCGACATTGAAACTTAGAGATGAGAAGCCCTTCAAAGGGTGACCTATAGTGGCCTGCCTGCAAGCGCAAGGTAAGCCGGCCTACCATCCTGGTTGCTGAATGCATAGCACTAGGTGCCTATGTGGGGGGAGTCGGAGCTTTGAGACACATCCATTTCGCTGCATGAAACTAAAACCTCAGCCGTGCCAGATCGATCGAGCCCCGGAGGAACAGGATCGATCCTCGCGGCCTTGTATGACTGGAGGGTAGAGGTAACGACCCCCCCAAAAGAGGTAAGCCTCAAGTTGAGCCCTACGCCGTAGGTTGAGAGAAAAACGGAGTGGCTGGAATGTGTGTGTGTGTGTGTGTGTCTGGGTATTTGGGGGGCTTGAGAGTATGGAAAACACTGGACCCCTGTTCAAACCACGAAAGACAGAACCCGTTCGTGCAAAAACCAGTGGGTGCTTGTTTCCCCCAAAATGCTGTCTTTTTCCTCTCGGCGTCCTTTCAAATAGCGGCCAAAAACGCTGGCACTCCGTTTCGGCGGCTCCGCGTGCCTCCGCATCATGGAGCCGCTTAAGCGCCGATGGGCTGGAGGAGCCCTACGGGAGTCTCGTCTGGTTGCTTTTGAGTCGGACCGGGTCCCCATGCTTCGGTTCTCCGGTTGGGTTCCGATTCAAAGAACGGCCAAACCGGGAAATCGGCCAAATCCAGAGCCACGAGTGCCTTCAAACCCGCCCAACCCGGGGGATCAAAACAAAAGGGAAAACGCGGCCCATGTGGATGGGTACCAAACTCCACAAAAACCACCAGTTGAGATGCGTTTTGAGACGCATGAATACCGGTTGACAAACCCCCAACTGGTCCATCCACATAAGGGGCTCAGAACTGCAAACCTTGCACCCACCCCCCCTTCAAAAAAAAAACGACTCCAGACTTCCTTCCACGTCCAGACAACAGCCCTCGTTGCCCCCAGGCCTGGGTTGCAGGACAACCAACGCATATCACGAAAGACCTACTCCTGGATGCTCAGCCAGGTAACCTGGGCTGTTCAACATGGAGGGGTGGCCAATCCTGATCCATAATCCCTATAGGGAAGCCACGAAGGGGACCCCTAGCGCAACCCGAGGTAAACAATTACGGAGTACCGTTGAGCAGCCCAGGTAACCATGACAAGAGCTCACCTTGAGTAGGACACCCCCCCTCTTAATCAACCGTATAACCTATTACTAAGCCGGTCAACCCATCCAAATTCTCGGTCCATTCAAGGGACATCCTCAAAATTGACCAGGAAACGGCGGTTTAAGTGGATTTCCCGCCCCCTCAAAATGGTCAACCCAACCCTCCGGCAAGGCCTGCGCCACGGTTGCCTTCAGCTTCTTCTCCCTTAGAACCCAGGCGCGGTCAACCCGGTGGGCGGTTCGCGTTGCCGACCGGCGCACACCAGTAAACCAACCCGGGTAACTCAAAGGTTTGCGGAAAGGCTTGGCAAAGGTAGGCAAGATTTCCTTACCACAAGGCTGCAATGGCTGCAAGAAAGGTATGTAACCCCTGCTGTTCATGTTGCAGGTAAATTTCAAGACAACCGTTTTGAGTAGCATCTGAACACGAACGCTGGGGTTGAACCCAAGCCAGCCAGACCTCAGCATGGTGCGTCTGCTCGAGCAAAAGACGAGCCCTTGTGGAACAGCGAAGAAAACAAATAACACCAAAAGGAAACTACCCATGTCAAGGGTTCCCCTTGACGCAAACCTTTGGAAGATGATGCTCCTACTGTGGATGGTTGCAAAATCCGTTTCGCACCATGAAATGACACCATGGTTGAAACCAGAACGTTTGTTGGTATTTGCGTTGGGGAATCGAATCATTTCAGGGTTTCTGAATGTTGGCGCGAAACGGATTTCGCAACCATCCACAGTATTGACCTTGTTTCCAATGATATTTTTGGGAGTAGGCAAGATGAGTCGACTTTATTGGAGACCTTTGCAACATTCTCAAGAAGGCAGCCCTTGAAACAAGCAAAGTGGGTACGCGGCAGGAAGAACCAACCCCTGAGGGACCCTTTTGGGCCAGGAGTAAGGCTTCACAACTTCATCTGTTCCCCCCAAAACTTGGTACCATAAGTCGGTGATTCCGGGGATCGAAATCCCCTGCTCCCCCGTCTCACCCTTGATAGCTTATCTCTGCATTTTGTCTCAAAAGGAACTTGGCCCCAAATAATCCACAACTGATCCACCATTGCTGGGGGAGCATTTTAGATACGTTTATAATCAAATCCTGTGTGAGTTGGAAAAAAATATGTTCGCCACTCTTCCCAAAAGGGAAAAAGTCCAGGAAGTTAGCTAAAGAGAAGACGGCCAAAAGCAAAGCGTCCCACCAAAAAGTCGAGGGGCGCCTACCAAATGTGGGGGAAAAGGGCATGCACCTTTCTTCCCACTCCGGGCGCAAAAAGATGTTTTCGTCAACTCGCCCGAGGAGGCGGCTGGATCTCTTGCCGCATCGCGTACTCCTGTCCAAACTGGAAGACCCCGCATGCTCTTGGCACGGGGGGGGCATAACCCGAGTTTCTGTGACTTCGGCACTTGAAGGGAGAGATGAAGGGAGAGATGGGGGAGGGGGGAGGGGGGGGAGGGAGGGGAGAGCTGGGAGAGTTTCAAAACCACGGCAAGTGGGGGTCCCGAAACCCAGCATCGTCCGTGCCCTCCCAAAGCGTGAGATGAAAATCCAAAGCAAAAAAGAGTTGGGATCCTTCAAGGACATCTTGTCAGCAGGTATTTGATACAAAGGCTCAGAATGGATCAGAAAAAAGGTCAACAGAGTGTCTGCGTATCTCCAATGGGACTTCAGCGTGCGGCGAATCTCAGAACGAAGCAAATTTAGGTCGGAGAACCTGACAGCCGACAAGCTCGAGACGTATGGTTAGCAAGACTGCACATCTGCAAGCAGGAGTGCGAACCAGTGCCTCGCTTGTGGATGAGTGAGCCAAGTGAAGGTTCAACTGGTATTGAAGCCCAAAACAGCACTGTGTTCACAAATGTGGGGGTGGAATCCTCAATTAAGGTGGTTTTTGTCAAGGGTCAAAGTGCTTAATGTGTTGGGCAACCCGTTCGCTACTTTGAATGGAACTTGAGGGCACCCCTCCCATATGGGCCTGAGATTCAATCGGGGACCCTTCGGTAGACATCACATAAGCGGGGGATTCTCAACGGTACAGAAGGCCTAGGGCTCAAAACTCGTTGGATTTCGGGGTTACTTGTTCGCAGAAATGGGCGCTCCACTAACCTGCCACGGGTTTTATTCTCTTTAATTGGAACCGGACGCCCTCAAAGGGCGGGCTGCTCTTTGGCTCCACCTGGCCTCGTACTGGCGGCTGGTCTTGGTGAGGTCTGTCGCATGCTTGTCCCAGGCCTGGAGGATCTTTGGACCGCAGATGGCGCGATTCTTGGGTGCTGCGAGTCCTTTCCTTGCGATTCTTGTTTTGGACGTCACCAAAATGAGGGGGTCCTAAGGAGCAAGGATCTGGAGTGCAGGCTATACTTCCACTTAGATCCTGCCCAAAAAAACAACCGAGGCTTGCAAAACCACCCTTCAGCTGCGGACCCTTCGTACTCTACCAAAGCATGCCCTATCACTCCCTAGCCCAACTTCAGCTGCCTTGTGTTTGACAGTTTGCGGCGATTGAAGACCTCAAACAACCTAGTCGACGCCTCAAGGCAACGGCGTGGATGAGATTCAGGGGTTCCAGGGATCGAAAAGCGCCGGCTGATGGCTAACCCTTCCCGCACAAAATGCCTTTTGCAACAGCTTCGTCCACCGAAGCGAGTCGTTCAGACGTGTCTGGAAGAGTTCATGGTATGATCTGGGTTGTAGATTCTGAGCCTCTGACAACACTGCATGTTTCCCCGAGAAGACATTGAAAAATTGGATTGTCCCCTCATGTCCTCCCCAAACCCAACAGGAGACTAAAATCAGTCTGCCACACTCATAGGGGAGGCTTCCCCCCAAAAGTGACAGGATGGGGCGTCTTGCAACCCAGTTGCTCAATTCTCTGCTAGCGTTTCCCATTTGGGCCCTGCCCATTTGCTGTGTCCAAGTTGGGCCCGTGGCTCAAAGGAAACCCCCGACAGACTGGGGCCACCCCTGACGGTCACTTTCATGGACCCAGGGACCCAGCCCATTCAATCACCAAACCGAGGGCAAGCCCTGGACAGACCAATTCTCAATTGGCTGTGGCTCAAGTGGTACCAAGATGCCTCCTTACGTGGAACCAAAGACTAAAACCCGCAATTTGTTAGCCCCAGCTCTTTAATTTTGAGCCATGAATTGCGTCTCCCAACTCGCAACCCCGGCATCCCTCCTCTGCCACCGCAAGGTTGCGCAGCTTCGCCTTCTTGTACACCGCAGCGGCCACCTCGGAAGGGAGAAAAAAACAAAAAAAGACGACTTGCTGGTGCTCAGGGAGTGACCCATGGTGTTGCGAATGAACCCAGGGGGACTCCCTGACAGGAAACCATCAAAGATGGCCATTCCCTCATTCCCTGCTGAGAGCCAGCAGGACAAACAACAACGACAAAAACAAGCTTGTCTCATCCATGTGGGCTCAAACTGAACATGTTTCATCCCAAGGGACCCCTTTTAACTGACAGAAGAGTGTTTGTGGGCTTTGGGGCTGGTGGGTTTCTCTTAAATGTCCCACTTAAAATCTAAAAAAGCGATAGACTCATCTGCCGCGTGCTTGGGGGTTGTTGTGAAGGGAATCCAAAGGGAAACCACCCGCTTGGGCGGTCTATCTTGAGACACACCATTTGGTGGTTTTCATTTGCAGTCAAAAGGCAGTCTTTTGGGGGGTCCCTCCTACTGTGGGTGGACAAGATCCTGCACCAGTTGCTAAAAGGCTGACCCCAGTGTTTACAGGGTTTTATCCATCCCGCCTGGTGGAGGATTTTGTGCATCCAAAGTATCTGGCTGATGATTGAAAACGTCCATTTTGATCGTTTGCTCGTTGGTAAGTGGGTAAATGGTCATTAACTGCTTATTTGCTCGTCCCCAAAAACCAGCCAGGTATTTTGAGGAGCGCAGGAGTTTGTCCATCAGCATTTTGAGGAGCCATACGGGTGTGTCCGTTTTTACGATCGGTTTTCCTTTTGGTTGCCCTCAAAAAAACCACTCCAAAAGACATGGTAATTAGTTGCCTTTTGGTTTCCCTTTAAACTCCCAAAAGGGATTTTGTTGCAGCATGCCCTATTTGGATTGAAGGAGCCATGCCCTTCCCTTTGAATCCCAATTTGTTCCTTTTGGTTTCCCCCAAAAAAAGGCCCCGGAGCCATGCCCCATCCGGCCCCTGGGGGTTCCTGCCACCGCCTTCTGCGAGGCCTGCGCTCGCATCTGGTCCTCCCAGCCTCATGGAAGAAAAAACGGGCGGAATGGCGGGTTTCTCTTTGGTGGTTTCCCTTTCAAGGCACTCCCAAAGGGCAACTTTCGGGTTAAAAATGACACCACTCCTGTGGGCTTAAGGAGGTGCAGTGGGCTTAATTCCATGGGTTTCCTCTTGGTTTCCTTGGGACCATGCCCCCGGGGTTAAGGAAGTTCACTGGGTTTAGTTCCATGGGGTAGCCAAGGGATAGAACCTCGGAGCGACGATTTCTCGGTGAGATGGTGTCCATCCGCCACTGCCCCAAGGGGGTTGAATGGGATATGCAGCCGAATAGGCTGACTTCCCAACTGTGCCCTGCGGTTTGGGGGTAAAAGGACACCATCTTAGACACACCATGGAGCTTCTGCCCACATGCTGACTCTGATTCCCATGACGAAAAGGGCTTCGTGGAATGAAATTGAACATAAGCTTTGATCGGGGATTTCTAGGTTACATGCCGTTGGCCGTGAAACTTCTTGGAGGTCATTCCCAGCAAAATCCGCGCCGCATGGCCATGACCCGCCGGCATCCCTCCCTTTCGCCTGCGCGGATCTCTGTAGCCTCCTTGGCATCCTTCCGGGCATCGAGGATGACATCCTGACAAGTCAGTTTGTGGGGGCGCCGTGGCAGGAATCAAACAAACTCAACAATGTTCGCCAGAGGAAGGAACAGGCCAGGACACGCACACACACAAGCACTCACACAAGGCCACAATCTCAGAATCACAAACAGCACATGAGCATGAAACCTGATCCATACGGAAGTATTTTGGATTTTCTAGATGCGTTCGAAGCTGCGTTGCTTGAAACTTCCAGAACGCCTTTCGGGGCCCTACGTTTGGGGGTTGCTCAGTGAAACTAACAGGCAACCACGTTTTGGTCGGCCCAGTTTGAGACGAACTCGGGACCTCCTCCAGATTCTGGAACCTGCAGAGTGGGTAGCTGTCCCTTGGTATCTCTGAAAACCAACTCCGGGGTATTTCTTTTTGAACCAACCGGCCAACAAATTTCCAAAGTGTTGGTGTACCACCAAAAATGGTCCCAAAAAGTACACAAAAGCCCAGGAGTAAAGAACAAGAAATCCACGGACCCACCTTACCCCTTAAAACAAGCCCTGGGGAAGTTAATCTTTTACAGACATATAGCCCATGTTACCCAAAAAGTTGAAAAGTTGTGTTTTTAGGAGGTAAGCCACTTGAAGGAACTCATCCGAACTGCTTCGGTCCTCTAGCGCGGCCTGGCCCGCCGCCTCCGCCGCCATCTGCCGACTCTTCGCGAGCTTCTCCTCACGCGCGAGACTTCACCCAGGGGTCCGGGGGACGGGGGTCCGGGGGGTCCGGGATCCAGTTCCATGTGTCGAGTCCCTCAAACAAAAATGGGTTGCCATATGGAATTCCTGGAAGCCCCTTGGCATAAAAATGGGTTCAACCACTTCCCCTTACATCACCCCACAGTCAAACAGTGATGTGAAAAACTTGGCCAAGGTGATGTTTAGAGCCACCAGAAGTTTGAAAGTATAGAGAACCCTAGAAGTGGATACAAGCAAAGAGGGGAATCTGGGCGCCAGATTCGGATTCGTTTGGTGAGAGACTCCCTCAGAAAGTGGCAACCCAGAACCCGATGTTCCACAGGTCCTTCACATCTGGAGATGTCAGGCGATGCTACTCAGTTTCCGGTTTGGTTGTGTGATTAGGGAGTGGCTTCCAATCTACCAACAAGAAGCCGGGGCCACCAATAGAAACTGCCTGTTGTTTTCGCCAAAAAAAAAAGGCTCTCCAATTGTTGGTCCAACCCCGTGTGTCGAAACCGCAGCACCTAATGAACGGCTGGCGGAACCATACACGTTTCCGTGGCAGAACTAGTAACTAGGGACCCTTTCTGGGGAGGGTTGTTCAAAAAGCCAACATGGGTGTGCCTCAAAAGATTGTATCATATCATGTCCAAATGATGGCTTGACACGTGTTCCCTGAAGCGACGAGTCGCCTCAGCTTGATTTACCTACATGCTCGTGTCCAAGCAGATTGGAACCGGTTTGGCTCACTTGTGAAACGTGAAGCGCGTTTGAATTGGCCAAGTCGTCAGCCAAAGGGATGGCCCACTCCACAACCATGACGCGGACGAATCGATTCAAGTGAACTGCCCACCTCTAATTACTAGGCAATCGGCCATCCCAATCACTTCAGCAGGGAGCAGGGAGAGATGTCCTGGTAGCAGAGTGGAAAAAGGTTTGTTTCCCCACCTCATGAAGTTCAAAAAAGCAAGTGTCTTCCACCCCTCATCGATTCCGCACATGTTTCTTTCGAGCGTGGGGCAATCACTTGTTGAATCATGGGGGCGTATTCTTTTGCGGGACCCCCCCTTCTGGTTTCGCTTTAAAGCGACCCAACAAGAGGCACCCTCCCAAACCACTGTTCTTAGAGCATCATGTTGCCCAAACTTTGAAAGCCAAACGGCAAACGGACACGCCCAACCGATTTTCCCAACCCTTCCGACACATTGAGGTGCCATGGGACATCGGCCAGGTTTCCGGGCATACGCATAGCGTGCCAGCGCAGCAGACTGCTTGGCCTAGCACGGCGGTTCGGACAGCAAAGGATTTGGGTGACCCTGAATGGGTTTCAACCTGATTCTTTGTTGCAAGCTGGAACCTGCTTAGTGTGGTCCACAAAGGATGGTCCAAAATGGTGTCCAACGTGTTGGTCTTGCCAAAAACACATGTCCAACGTGTTTGTTGTTATTTTATTTATTTTTTTAGTGTCCATGGTTTCGAATGTGGTTGTTTGCCAAACTTGGGAGTGATTCCTGGCTCTTTTCAACTGTCGTTCTCGTGGGGACCGCTCAGTTTCCCCAGGTGTTTCTTCCCCTCCCCCCCAAAAAAAAGAAAAGAAAAACAAAAGACGACGTTCGGTTGGTTGCACACCCCAGATTCACATGGGGTGATCCATCAGCATTTCGCACCCAACTCACCCGCCTCCCGCGCGTGGCGCTGCGCACGCAGCAGGGCCACCTCCGCCAGGGAGGCCGCGGCAGCCTGGGGCTTTGGGCCGCCTTGGGGTAGGTGTCCTTTTCAGGGAAATCCATCAATTTTCCCGGAAGGAGACCGATGGTTGAAGAGTTCCTCCTGTTTTCCGCAACGGCTGGAAGCTGTGGGGTCCATAGATGTCCTTGTCAGGTAACCCACTGGTCTAGATGGATTTTATGAGCCGTTTACCAGGGAAGCCCATCGATTTCTCCGCAAGGTCGCCTATTGTTGGGGTTGGAGCCCTTTGGTTTTTTGGGATCGCCCAGTAACCACCGGTTCCCTGAAGGAAATTGTCTTCAATCCTACGTGACATCAGGATGAAAGCAGATGGCACAACTCCCTGGTGCGAAAAGAAAGCGGATGACTCAGCCAGAATGCACATGTTGTGTAATAATCTCTTTTGGGCGTCCCTGGAAAGGTAAATCACCTGTTCCTTACGCGACCTCCTTATGGTTTAAAGGGGACTTAGCTTGAACACGTGTTTTTACAAACCCTGGTTCAAACGTAGCCGTCAAAAGCCGAGGAAAGTATGGGTCAATGGGAATGGTTCAAAGGCATTTCCTTTTTATCGAAGCGATGTGGGTTGCATCCATTTGCTTGGTGTCCTTTTGGTTGAAATACAAATACATACTTGTACGTAGAGTGTGGACACGTACTTCTACATACATATATATATATACACATTTATGTGTATACAAATATATATATATATACATGTACGTACGCCTATATCAAAATGTGTATGCCTACATGCCGATCTGCATACACCCCATGTATGTGTGTATGTGATTATGTGTGTAGTTATTATGTGGTACTATAATTGTGTTTTTCTGTGCATTGATTCATTTAGTTTGTTAGCTGTTTATTCATCTAGTGATGTTGCATTAATTGTTTGATGTTTTGTCATGTTTATATGGTGTTATGTTTGCATTTATGTAGTTATGTATTTGTGTAGTTATTTGTCTATGTTTTCCATTCACTAATGTATTTGTTTATTTCATCAGTTGATTCATGTACTGACGGTATTGATTGATTGGTTGATGTGATTTGGTTGTTCATTCATGTTTTAGTTTGTCAGTTATCGAGTTAACTTAGTTTGTTAAATGTTTATGTGGTTGTTATATTCATTTACGCATGTAGTCCTTTCATTAGTTAGTGGCGTTGGTTTGTGCTTGTATCTATGTGTTTGTTTATCTATTGATTTATCATCTTATTGGTCTATTTAGTCATTGATTTATTTGTGTATTGATGTGTGCATCTATTTCTGGAATCATCTTTTTTGTTTGTCAATGTATTTGCTTAGGAATCTGTTTCCGGTGTTGTCTATATTTAGTGTCTGAATCGTTGCATTGATTTGTCTATTTGGTTATTCAGTTTGATTCATGAATTGAATAACCAATCAAACAACTATGTATATATGTACACACAGATCTATTTATCTATATATCTATCCATCTATCTATCTATCTATCTATCTATCTATGTATCTATCTATCTATCTATCTATCTATCTATCTATCTATCCATCTATCTCTATGATATTTCTTTCTCTACTTCTTTCTTTTTGTCTGTCTATCTATCCATCCATCGTCTGTCTGCCTGCCTGTCCGCCCGCCCGTCCATCCATCCATCTCCCTCCCGCCCTCCCTCCATCCATCTCTCCCTCCCTCCCTCCCTCCGTCTCTTCCTCCCTCCCTCCCTCCCTCCATCCATTCATCTCTCCCTCCCTCCCTCCCTCCCTCCATCCATTCCCATCTCTCCCTCCCTCCCTCCCTCCCTCCCTCCCTCCCTCCATCCCTCCCTCCATCCATTCATCCATATGCCTACAAACATCTAAATGCCTGTGCGCAGTGCCGCGTTCCTTCCGCACTCCCTCCGATGCCTCGCCCTGGCCCTGCTGCGCTGCGCTGGGCCTAGATATCCGAAACCGAAAGGATAGGTCGGGGCTGGAAAGCGGAGAGGAAGCCCAGCTTTCTTCTAGAAGCCCCTCGATTTTTTTCGGATTTTTCCCAACATTGGAAGACATTTGGCTATTTGTTGGCTTCTTTGGATGCCGAGCGTTGACCTTATTAGAGGGGCCCAAAAAGTTCCTCGCAAGCCGCAATGAGGCTTATGAGAAAGCGCCTGGCCATTGCTTGGATTTGGGGAATGTGTAAAACTCGGGGGCCCAACAAATGGCGGTCTTCCTTTGAGCTTCAGCCAAGAAAAGGGCACCCCGCCCTTTTGCAAACCCATAGGTAGGCCTCAGAGTCCTACACCTTGCATTTTTTCTCATTTGGCACTCGAATAGAGCGCAAAAAGGTCTTTGGGTGCATCCGGTTCCAGGGCAAGGACCTTTTTGTAGCCGCCAAGAAGAGCAGTCTTTTCCAGACTTTAGGGGGAAGTGACCGCAAAGAGAATCGCTGAGGTCTCTGGGGAAGCTGTCGGGAGAAGTACACCGCCGCTGTTCTCGGCTAGGACTTGATTCCGACACGGGTAGGATCAGTTCGGGCACGGCGGCTTTTTGGGTTATAAGCCCACCAAGATCGAGGTCAGAAAATCCCACACTGAACCCCCGAAAAACAAAGCCAGCTTCTCCGGCTGCTTGCAAAAGGTGCAAAGAACTAACTGTCAAAACTAAGCGTCCACGCAGGAAAGGTTCTGAATGAACCTTCTTGAAGGTTCTTAGCGTGCACTTGGAAGGGGCTCTTAGTGTTCAAAGAAACTGTCTGTGTCCTGAAATGTTGAAGCGGACAGGCCAGGAGGAAACGACGGCCTTCCAGGGAACCGAGGGCAAAGCAACCCCAAAACCAACCCGAATCGGGGGTTTATTTAAAGCGGAACCAAAGGAAAATGAGCCATTTCGGGAGGGTGTCCCAATTTTGAGACAAATCCAATTGCTTCTGTTTGGCGGATTCCGGGCACCGCTTAATCACGATCAAAACCTGGTATGATGTTGTTCTACCCAAACCCAATGAAGAATCGAAAGAGCGGATTGAAGATTTTTACCTTTTGCTCCACTTTGACTCACTAAAATGCACAAGGTATCCCAAGCATCCTCTTGGCCTTTGGCCACACCACAAAAAAAAGGTCCCCCCCCCCGCGACCAAGTGGCGCAGACGCTGGCGCAGAAGCTGGCGCTGCCGCCGGCGACGCCGCCAAACCCACCAGCGAAGCCTGGAACCCATTTGCTCGCTGGATGGTTTTGCGTTAACACTGTTGTTGCCGACATGTTGTGCAGGTCGCTTTATTGTTTGTTGAGTGTGTGTGTGTGTGTGTGTGTGTGTGTGTGTTTTTAACCATGTGTGTTGCCGTAATTTGTGCAGGTCGCTTTATTGTTGTTTGCTGTTGCTTTGAAACAATGTGTGTTGCCGGAGTGTTTTGTGGCGGGTGGCAATAAGTGTTTCACAGCTGGAGATCTTTGGGGCACCAAAGCTACATACGTTTTCTTGTTTGGTTGAAACCTAGGCAAATCTGAAGGTGTCCCGGACAAAGGCACCACGCCGGCACCTCAATCACATGCTACCAAACTCATGAATGGATCACGTCGACCTCGGACAAATCTGGAAAGCAACATCTGAGGAATCTGCGAGAATGATATCTGGGCTGTCCTCAGATCCCCTGCTAACACTTTAACTTCTAATGGGTTAGATGGCAACCCTCACTAAACAGTACAAAGCAAAAAACCTATAGAACCGGCCACCAAGACATGGAACCCCCAAATAGGAACCGCCCTTTACTAGCATCCTCAATGCCATCCGCTTGCCCCACCTCTTGGCTGCGCTCGCTGCAAGGCTCGCCCTGCACAGGTGCAGTCTCATGATTAGAATAGGCTTTTGGCCAAATTGAAACAGAATAAGGCAATGATAATGTGTAAATCTTTGGTATTCAGTCCCTTGTATTACCGAGTTCTAAACTATGCCGACATTCGTCGCTCATTGCAATTGGGCGAAGTCAGGACTGCGGAACCGCGTTCGATCACCCCGCGATGTTGACCCGCCACGTCTTGGCGGCGGAAACTGTGAATTTGTGTCACCCGGCTACGAGCCATATGCAAATGGAAGTGCTCAAGAAGTTGGCAGGACCTCCGGATCAAAGGAAAACTTCCTTTTTGAAGCAAGAAAGACATGCTCCAAAGCCGGCTAGTTGGGAGCAACTCGGAAGCCCAAGTTGATTTACTGCAAAGAACCAGGGTTTGGAGGCTGGGTGTTGTTGGTTTTGTGGTGTCTCGTAGTCAAAACCTTAAGGGTGTCCACCCAAAATCCACGAAAAATGATTCACACGGGCCGACGTTTAGCGCACCAAACGTTGATGCGAACAGTCCAAACAGCACCCCAAAGGAGAGCCAAATTTTGACCCAAGATCCACTTCCCTCTGACGAATCCGTTTCGAGGCCGGTTTGGTGCTGAAGGCCTCTACGAATCCCCAAGCCCAATCGAAACCACCAACGGGTTACCTGAAAGATGATGTTTAAGCAACCCACGGAAACTAATAACATGTTCAGGCCATTCCAAGAAAGCACAAGACGGTGTTTTGCCCTTCAGACACCCCGTTGATTTTGATCGAAACCGTCCCTCATGTAGGAAGGAGCCCTCCAATTTCGGGGGAATACATCCACCAGGTTGACTCATACTTGGTATGTGTCAAATAGAAATAGGGCGACCCAACCAACAAATACGTTATCCAGTCCTTCCCCTTTGAACCAACCCAGAAGCCCCAAAAATGTGTACCTCATCCCACAAACCCAGGCTCTGGCCTCATTCTTTTTATTATCAAGTCACCCCTTTGGTGGAAAGCAACACTTCCCGACACAGGCGTTCAAGAAAATGTCTGCCAATGCCACCCTTTCTGTGCGACCGTCCCCTGAAAGCCTTTGACCGCAGGACTGGGAAGCCGCTTTGGGCCACGCCAACGACCCCGCCGCCTGCTCGGAGCTGAGCGGCTGGCACGCTGCGTGGCAGAAGCGGGAGTAGTCTACCTGAGATCCATGCATGGGGATCGATGAAAAAAACCCGGCGCTGGTTATGTACATATATATATATATATATATGGTTATGTGTTTATTGGTTTACTTACTCGTCGAAAAAGAGGACGAGACAATGCGACCAAGTGTTGGTTTTGCCACCTTTTGGCAATACAGGCAAATGAGTGTCAGCCCCCAAATGTTGGTTTCAACCTACGCTTCCCCTGCGAAACAGCAAACAATTTTTAAATGAGATCCAGAAAGGATGGTTGGGGCCACCCAGCAAACCATACAAGTACTTGGGGGCTGATTCGAGCCTATTTGAGCGGTGAAATTTGCTTCTCCCAGGGTTTGGTCAGCCTCCTTGAGTTTGGCGGGCATTGTTTACTGAGTTCTCCCAAAAGGACGAGGAATTGTTCGACCTCAACAACATGAGATCCCAAAAGGCAGGCCTGAAGGCTTGGTTGCTGTTGACCCTGTGGGTTCAATGGAAAATTCATTGATTTCCCACAAAGTTGAGGTTAGAAGATCCGCCCCAATAGCAATCAAAGGACGGCGAAGAATCGTCAGGCAAAGGGAAGCAAGAGAAGAAAAGGGAGCCAAGACCTCGCGAAGCAACAGGGCTTCGTACGTGGGTCACATAAGGACATCAATACATGCAAATTCATCGCATCAACATTCGCCCCCACAGTGCCGAGTCAACAACCTGCCCTTGATTCAAAGACAGCCAAGGCCATTGTCGCCCAAAATATGCATTATGGGCTCTGGGCCAACAAACTTGGTTTATGCCACAAATCATCCCCCAAAAGGGCATCCCTAAAAATAAGCCACCCAAATTACCCAGAACTCCTAGCAGGACCCGTTTGACCCTATCACTTCGGGAAATTCGCAGACCTGCGCTTTCGGAATTCTAGTTCTCGGGTATTTGGAGACACCCAAATGTTGAATTCCCTCGAAAACTGAGAGAAAAGCATTTTCTCCATTTTACAAACTTCCAACCTGATGGATTCTCGTGATTACTGTAGCTGGACCACAACCCTTGTTTTAAAGCAAAGCTACTTGGGGTGTGTTTTTTGAAGGTACTCTTTTCAGGTTGGTTTTAAGTCGACCCCTATTCCTCCATTTGCTAAAGCCCCCTGGAAACAAAAAAACGGAAGTGATAGATTCCCGGACCAAAACCGACAGGGGACATAATTGAAAAAACAACTTCTGAAGCAAATAGAGGCCTGTTTATTTCAAGACGCACTCATTTGGCCATGGGCTTTTCAAAATCCAAATCATACCCTCAGTGAACATTCCAATCCAACCACTAAAATCGGTTCTTCAAAAAGTTGTGGTGAATTCACCGAACACCCCAAAATAAAATAGGATGCCTAAACTGGGTGGTGAATTCAGTCACCGACCCAAAATGGGATCCCCTTTAACGGTTTCGAGCCTTCGACGAGACCACTCACCGACGACCCCGCCTCATTCTCCAGGGCGGCGAAGGACTCCTGCAGAGCGCCGGGGGCGCAGAGCCGGCAGTCGCCTGGCCGGTGCCGCTCCCGAAGGGAAAAAACATGCGAAAATTTGGGCCAAAGGAAACTCCTAGATGGCCCGAGACTTAGGAAACTCATGGAAACTCCTACTTAGATGGCCCGAGACTTAGCATGACGAGTAAGCCTGGTTACAGGGGACTGAGGACTATTGTAAGTGGGCTACAAGCAGGGTTACTAGCCGTTTAGCTCTGTCCCAGACCATCCAAGTAGGGATTCACTTAAAAAGGAAACCATAGGGGTTAAGGGGGCTGTCAAGGGAACCCGGTCTGCTGATGCTCAGACTGCCAATTCAAACCGAGGACAGACCGCTCCGCACTCCCTCCTTTTATGCTGTCGGTGCCGGAAAGTTTGCCTGTTCAAAGTGCAAGCGGAAGATGAACATCAACATAGAAGCATGTGTCATGCGATCAATGAGACCGGGAAACCCTTGAGCCGGAGTTGGCGCACGACCAACCCTAGGAGCAACCCGCAAAAACCCAAGTGAAAACACTCAGCGATGGGTTCTTTTTTCGGGGGTCAGCTTCCCACGAATTGGTGGCTTGGATTGATGGTTTCGAGCGAGCCATTCCGGGGTGGTTTCCCACTTGCTCTACAAGGGGTTCCACTCCCCAAACCACCAATCCAAATCCAAACTAGGGGGTTCCTGAAAGCGCACGAGGGACGGGGGCACACCGTCCCTCCCATGTTCCCTTCCTCTCGTTCTTTCCTCCCATCCTTCCACACCCTCGCGAGCCCCATGTGCAATTTCCAGCAAACGGAGCATCAAAGGGCTGAAGCGTAGCAAAGGGGGGAAGTTCCCTCTTTCTTCTCTACGCCTGTTTGCCGTTACGTTTGTGACAGGGCCAGAAACCAGGTGCCTGTGCGAGCCCAATGCGCAATTGCTGGGTAAAAGTAGTCCAGCACCACTGCCCGCATTGCACCACCAGACTGCATCACACTACTTATCTGCATCACGAATGCTGCCAACATCACCACCCAAGATATGTCAACTTTCGGGGTGCATGTTTTGGCACGCGAGTATGGGAGAAAAGCAGGTGGGGTTCCCTATGACTGCTCCAAAAGGGTAAGCTCGGATTCAAGACGCACCCATATGTGCACACATACACAAGAAACAACTGCGGGTTGCATGCGGGAGTTTCATTTTTTTGAGGGTGCACTCTTACTTGGTGCTCTATTTCCGAGCCACACCGCGATTCTTGTGTTTTTTGTTTCCAAAGGCTGTGGTTCTCATGATTCTTGTGTTGTTTCTTCATGATTCTTGTGTTTTCTTTCACCATGATTCCTGGATAGGGCGTGAATACCGGAGAAAAAGAAAACACCTCGCGAGGGCACCAAGCGCTTGACCTCCGACCGGACTCCCCCCACCTCGGGGAGCGCAGCCGGAAGTGGAGGCCAGGCAGCAGTCGCAGCTGCAGGCGCTGGGCAGCGGACGGCTGGCGTTGGCCGCCTGGCTGAATGTTCCCAGCCCACTACACCCTGGCCAAACATGAAACCCACCAGTGGGTCCATTTACTACTCCACCCTCCTTGGCCAAGTCAACAAGACTCTGGACAACACCGCGTTTCCGGAACGTACTCGGAGTCGTACCCAGAAACCGGCGCAAATGTGCGGGTACCACCTCATTAGTACAGCTCGAGCTGTCACCATTTTGCAAATCCAACAAGAATCCCACATGCTTGCGGCATCCTCTCTTCAAGTCGTATTTCACCTCGTCTGCATCCTATCAAACTCCGGCGAGTTCAGCTCCATGTGAGCATGACACGAAACAGGGAACCCCTTTTTGGATGTGTTTCAAGGGACATGATTCAAGTATCCACCTCATTTTAACGCCCACAGACTCTGCACAGACAATACTGCTTTGTGCAGTTCGAAACCTTTCTGGGCTTAAAGACCGCCTTCCAGTTCTCACGCCGACGAACATCCAAACCCCGCGAAGAAGAGGAGTGAAGCTGTTCTGGGGCAGTTCGTTTTGGGCGCTTCAGCGCCACTTGGCCGCTTCGAGTGCGTGTCCTGAGTTCGGGGCTCCTCCACCCCAAAAAAACCCAAAACACCCCCCGCCTGCTGGGTGCGCAGTAGAGCCTCGCCGCCCTGGAAGAGGGCGAGGAGCAGCAGGGCCATGCCTGACACCCTCTTGAAATCGACCCACATCGGTGACAAAAGGAGGCAGCGTACTTCACTGGGTAACCCCAATGATTCTAGGGGCAGCTTCCCCATTCTTTCCAGGGATCCTTCTTTCTGGAAAGCACCAAAAACCCTGCGGAAATGGCTGGTTGTTGAAAAGAATGATGGCTGAAAAGAATGGGGAATCAACCGCTAGAATGATATCCCTTTTTTCAACACGTCAAGTGGCCCACGTCAAGTGGGAGATGTCTCCGTGCAAAGGAGGCTCAAGTATTTCCAGAAGCAAGAGTGACTCCGACGGAATGCCCCAAAAGCAGACCACTTCGGCCAACACCGAGCAAGACCTGCTGCTCGCTGCATTGCGTGGGGCATGCCGTTCGCCCCTTCTCTGGAGCCAGCGTTTGTGTCGGCCGATCAGAGACCTGGATTGGAAAATATGGAACGGTGCCAAAGCCATCCATCTGCGTGAATCTGATACTTGTTTGCTTTACTTACCCCTTATTTGCGGTTTTGCCCGGTAGGGGCGTGGTCGAAGGGTCCTGTGAAATGTGCAATGGACCCCCAAGGAAGTAGTCTTCAGCATGTTCGCAACGAAGCAAACACACCAGAAGCATACTGCCAACATTTGGTCAGCATGATGCCGTGTGCCTTATTCAGAACTGCCAGGTGGATCATGTGTTTTTGTTTGAAAGTCGAAGGGATCGTAACAAACATACAGTAGGGGACCTTTTGGAAAATAGTTGGCCCTGGTAAATGGAACAAAATCCATCTAAACCAATAAAACTCATCTATTTCTAACTAAACTAACCCAAAAAGGACACCTACGCAAACAAAGGGCTGAAGTTATTGTCGGTGACAAGCTAAAAACACCTCAGCCAGAGGCGTTCATGTCAGGTCCTTTGCCGGAGGATACCCTCCCAGAAACCACTTTTTGGAGCGCCGGGGCCAAACGGAAACATGTAGGTCGGGGGCAGTCTTGCCGGTTGCCCTCATGTTCGCCCTGAGCCCAATGACACGAACCCTCGAGGGAAATTATTGTCGTGTCGGGCATTGACATCGCAATGAGGGTAACCAAAAACAGAGGAGCAGCCCTCTCATATAGGGGAGCCGAGCCCTAAAACTCTGTGTGTGTTTCCCTTAATCTTCCTTTTTGAAAACCAAGGGGTGCCGCCCAAAAAAACACCGGACCCTGGCACACCTGGCTGAACAAATACCGGGTTGTTTCTTGTCGAGCTATGCGTGTGCACCAATTTCTCTTTGCCTGCAGCGACTTCGCACCGCATTCGAACCGCAGTCGAACCGCGTTCGAAGCGCGCGACTTCCGCGCGGCTTCAATTCCGCATCCATAGGTGTTCTTGTGGCAAAATAGATGGCCCTGGAAAAATGGAATGAAAACAATCGAAACCAGCGGAACCCATCTATTCCTCTCCAACCTAACCATACATCTGGATTTTCAGGGATATACACTAAATTTTGGTAGTGGATTTCCCGACAACCATATTATTATCTCTCCAAACCAAACCAGGTCACCTATGTCTCTCACTCTTTGGTGCGCACAGGTCTGCCCACCACCGCCTGGCAGCCCTCCAACCTGCAAGAACCGCTGGCTGGCGGGTTGCTGACGCAACCCGCTTTAGCGCGGCAAGCCATTGCTTTAGGAGTGAACTTGAGTGGACTTTCGAGAAACAGCAAAATTGGTGTTTGCCTCTTTAGGGGACCCCCAGACGATGGTGGTCCAAAAGACAACACACACACACACACACACCCGCCCGCCCGCCCCAGCCTCAAAAAAAGACAAACCCAAATGATGTCGAGAAAGATCCCGGAAGTCGAATCGCACCCCGAAACTTGACGCGTTCGGAAGCCTTCCGGGGTGTCCCACGACCGGAGGTCAAAAATGTAGCGCCAAATTGGGAAAATGTCTCAAATGGAAGGCGAGCTATCCAACTAGGACTCGGACCCCCGAAAATGCCAGCTTTTCCTTTGGGTGTCAATCCCAACCCCTCCCCCAAAATGGCGACCTTTCGCCTCCCAACAACGGAAAACCAACCCAAAGCCACGCGCTCGCTTCGACTCTCGCCGCTCCGTTCGCGCCAAGGAGCCGCAGCCTCTCCACAGAGTCCACCACCTCTGCATCTGCCACTGCCATCCAGCAGCAGAGGAAGCTGTAGGTCACCAGGTTCCGCCCCACGTCTTGGCTCCGGTCCTCCAAGTGGCTCTCCTGGTGTCAGGAAACATCCCAATACCCAAGTGGACCAAATTCTGGCATAGACACCAGATTGCAAGAAGATATGGGTGTGCTTCATTCTGTATGATGGTTGAGGGCAAAAGGACAACCCACAGTTGTTGGGATCCCTATTTTGACACATACCCACGTGTCACCCGGAAACATCACCCACCAAAAAACAAAACAAATGGTGATGGCCAAATAATGATGCTTCAACCACCCAGAAGGATATATGGATCCTTACTTTCTTTCCAGGAACAACACAATCCCTGAAGGGGCACAAAAGCTTAGAGTTGTTCTCTCTGCTCCTCGGCACTGATCCCAAGGACAACAAATGGGCCCAGGTTTTTTTTCTGTTTTAAGGCAAGCTGGCCATTTTGAGATTAGGAGCAACCCTGAAAAGGTAACCTCAGAGGAGTCCTGAAGTTGCCCCCCTGGAAACTCATATCAAATTGGCCTAAAGCCAAAGACTCATACGAAAAGAAGGGAACCGAAGCCTCTCCGAGGCTGCTCTGCATCTCTTCCACGCTCTGGATCAGCTGTGGCCTGACCCGAGATACAAGCAGAACCTGGTGGATGTTTCATCAAGGTGAAGTGAAAGCGCCCTACTTTTTCTGCACCCGCTGTTGTACAAGCACCCCAAAACTTCACCCGGGGCTTATTGACTTCGGGCCCCCACTAATCATTACTTAGGTGCTTGTCTTGGACTACTGTGGATGGACTGTAAATACCAACAAGCAATAGTTCCCCCTGGTTTCAGAGTGATGCATAATGTCCATCCACAGTAGGACTAAAGACAAGGGTGATGCATCACTCCCCAAACACCAGCCACAACCAACGAAGTTTGTTACACCGGCAATAAAGGCTGAACACCGAAGTTTGAACCCTTGGGGTTCTTCCATTTGCGTGAGTCCCCCGGAGAACATGTCAAAAACAACATGTCCAGTGATGGATTCTCTGTAAATCCAACAGGGGGAAAGTAAAACATATCTAAGCAAATGGAAGGGGTTGGTCATAAGGAGGTTGTCAAAGCGATGGGTGTTAGCCGTCTGTCTTAGAAATGGGACCCTAAACATGGTTGTGCGTTTCCTTTTGGTTTCCTTTTAAACCCACCTGAAAAGACCCACCCGAGCCTCGGAAACACCCATCCAGGACACCTCTACTTTAAATCTGAGGCTAGCCTCCAAAGGGTAGCACACCCCTGGTGGTTTCGGCCATGGCTGTAAGAGGCTGGCCCCAAACCTGCGGAAAAGTGATCCTCGAATCCCGGTTCCCCCAGCCAAGAGAGTTTCTCCTGGGAAGCGGACATATAGGGAGAATGGCCATGGACCGCACACAAACATATACATAGGGAGCCATATATAAGGTGTTGTATATTTGAACAATACGTATGTTTTGCAAAACCCATAGACTAGGGATCCACATACAAGTGTGCTTGTTCAGCAGCCAGGGAAAATATAAATATAGATCTAGGAAAATGATCGGTGTTTCCGGAACCATAGGCTGCTAAAGAAAAAAGCTTCGGGCTTTGCAAAGCTCGGTCCCAAATTGGTCTCCCCCCCCCCCCAAAAAAAAAGAAGAAGTCCCGCTCTCGGCGGTTCAAACAAAAAAACACAGTCTCTCTTTATTTCTGCGGGCGCCTCCTGAGGGCGAAGAAGAGGCCCTGGGCCAGCTGAGTGCTCAGCGAGGGGATGCCCCCCAGCATGCCGGGCACCAGGCCGATGGCCAGCGCTGCGACGCGCGACAGCAGGTACACCCAGAGGGGACTCGGCCAAGCAAGCGAGTAAACCAACCGACCAACAAAACCGACAAACGACGCAACCAACACAAGACGCAAGCGAGCAAGCAAGCAGGTTTCGGTGACGGGGGAAAAAAGGTCCATCTGTTGCTTCAGGCGAAAGACTTAAGGACAAAGCTGAGATGCAGCTCTGCTTGTGGCCAGACGTCCGCTCAAAAGTGGTATCCAAACTTCGCACCTTGATGTATGGAAAAGACTAGAACCTGTGCCACCCCAGCGGATTGATTTTCAGCCACACCCACATCGGAATTCTGTCCACAAAGCACTCCAAAAAGTATGAAAATCCACTTGGCAGCACTTGGGATGCCGGGGTTCCAGGGCAAACTGTCAAACCGGTCGAGTCTGGGATTCCAGATTGGGGTGAGGCCAACCCTGTTTCAACTTCAAGACCTGGCTCAAGAGGGGGGGAATTCCCATGGACCCCCGGGAAAATTTTGAGACTGGGGTCCTCTGGCTCTTCAGATGGCCACGCATGGCCACAGCCCGTGCGTTTTCGGGCGGTCAGACGGGACGGTCCGTTTGGACGCAAAAGAAGACAAGCAACCAAACTGGTTGGGCACCGTAGGCCACAGTCGGTGCCAAGCCCCCTGAAGCGAAGTCAGTGTGCGGAAACTGGCAAAACGATCCTTGTGATCTGTTTGACACCGAACCTCCAGCAATGATCGATTTTTCGGGAGATTCGACTCTTTGAACCCGCAAACAGAATGTGTCCCCCGCTTTTACAAGCAGGGTTGCCCAACCTAAACCAACCCTGAAGACCCAAAGAAACCTCAAGCCCACCCTAAGCCAGCCCAAAATCAAGCCTCAAGCAACCCTCCCCGCTTTCTCCGCAGAAATCCGAGCGGCGTCCAAAAGGACAGCACATTCGCTGCCCGGAAGTTGTCGGCAACTCGGATGGGTGTCACTGCGCTCGCCCAGAAGTAGAGGCCTAGGAAAATGTTCGAGCTTACTTACCGGTAGATGGTCTGGGAGGGATCGCAACCATGGCTTTGGTGGGTTACAGCCAGGGTTGCTGACCACTTAGTGATTCCTCGACCATCTAAGTACCCCCCGCGAAACACGATCCGAAATTGTGGTTGACTCCCACTACTCACAAGGGGAGACCAAAACTGTCCTTTCCACAACCGTGCTGAAGGCTAAAGATTTGCTGGTTCCTGGAAGAAATTGGTTCATGGGGTGAAAGGAAAAGAGGTCACAACAGGAGGCTGTGGTACATGTTTGCTTTTCCCAAAGGGTGAAATGCTCCCCCCCCTCCCCCTCCCCCCTACAACCCCCCGCCCCCCCAACAAAAAGGTCGTACCACAGAACTACCAAGAGGCAACACAGGTGCCTGTCGCTGTTCGCGCTGGAGCAACCCTCACCGGGAAGCTCGAGCAGCGGTCGGCTGAAGCCGAGATCGTTGGCAGTGCCACGCTTTGATGTCACCGCCCTCTGATAAAACCACGCCATGGCAAACATGACCACCGTCACCAGTACATCCGAGACCGTCGTCACCACCCTTGCAAGCGGCGCTGCAAAAAAAAACAACAAAGAGATTGTGGCCAACAAATTGCGTCTATATATATATATATACAGGGAAAGCCATTTCGGACACCCCAGCCTTGTACTTTGGGTCACGCCCCACCAGTGCTCTGGTGGCGCCAGCCAGCCCTTTGTCCAGCCATCGGCGACCGAGACGAGGTCAAAATGGTCCGTCAGGAACTGGGCCAGGAGTTGAAACGGCACGGCCCACAGGAACCAGATCGCCACCTCGGCCAAGAATCGACCGGCTGCTTCGTCTACCGCGGGTACCAATGCTTGGGGATGTGAAAGGGAAGCTCGAAAAAGAAAGCCAACCAGAAATGTGGGGTGTGGCATCATTTCTTAGGAATCGGACCTGGTGGCCCCTTTGGGGGCCCCTTAAAACCAACCCAGAAAGGGTGCCCGCCCCCCGTTTAATTAAAAAAAAGACAAACCCACTGTGGCAAATGAAATCCTTAACATGGCACAAAAGAAGAAGTATGAAGACCCAAAACCTGCGGCTTGCCCCATCTGTGCCTTTTTTGTTGAGCCACACCCCTTCTTTGGTTGAGGCCATGACTGTGAAAAGGGGAGAACTGGGACCCAAAATGGGCGGTTTCCGCTTAAATGCCCTGAAGAGGGTACCCCCAAAAACAGACCTAATGAGTCTCCTTGCTTTTGTGGGAAATTGAGTGAGTTGCTCACCTGAGGTCCAGAGAACAGCGACATCGACACGAGGCATCGCCCAAAAGGAGCGAAATCCAGCCCAAACCGCCAACTGAGTCCCCCACAAATACTTGACTTGGGACCGAATTGTGTTTGAAGACCCTGCGGACATCATGCACTTAATGGGATTTGTGACCACCCAAGCTGTCGAGGTCGCTCCGAATCAAAACGCCTAGCCATTTCGATGTCCTCTTCGGCTTTGCTCCCTCATGGAATTTAACTGGTTCCTCAGACTCAGGCACGACTTTATCAAATCCTGTAAAAACGCGGTCAGAAACTCTGGGCAAATTACCCACAAAACGGAGCCTTATAACAGTGTTTCAAGAGGTTATTCATCAAAACCAGGGCTACCACTTACGTTCGCGGCCTTCAGAGGAAGAAGCATCACTTGCCCAGCACCCTGCCTCTTCTAGCATGAAACATCCCCAGAGGAAGAAAGGGTTTGGGCCACCGTGCTTACCGCGTGTTTGAATCACAGCCCCGGCATTCCTGCGGCAGAGCTGCCAGCACAAGTCCCTGAGGAACAGGCGCATCCAGCCCCATGGCGGTCACTCAACCCCTCCCTCTTCCGCGGCTACAGGAGCCCTTCGGGTGCGGGTGGTAGGTGGTGGGTAGGCCGGCAGGCAGACAGGTGGGCAGGCAGGCAGGTCCAGGGCTATGTGTCCAAATAGGGTGACCCACAAACATGGTGCGGGGGGGGCCTTTTAGTTTGCTGTTAAACCAACCCCTGTTAGGTACCCTCAAAAAACACACACACACACCTCTCCCTGCAGTCCGATCTCTTTTGCTTTCCAGTCGCTGACATCGGTCTTTGCCACGACCAAGTTCTCTTCGAGGCGTGCTAAACGTCTCCTTTTGGGCAACATGTGTCTCATGTCTGGATCAGACCTCAGATTTCCTCCAACGCACTTGCCCCGATCATGACAACGCCCTGCGCACAGCATGCCGCTTTGCCGCAGCGTGCGCTAGGATACACGGCACCTTTGTACTCTTGCACGCTCGTCTGACCAAGAGAAGCCAAGCTGAGTCCAGCTCAGTAAGACGTTTGCTCGGCCGATCCCACCAGCTCTGCTTGGCATCTCAAGATACTTAGGACGGCGTCAACATCGATCTAGCGAGCCGAGGTCCGGCCCTCGGAACAGGACAACAAACCAGCTGCCTGTGACTCAAACGTTGGGGGACTCGGGCGGTCAATGAGTCATCGTCTGCTTCACATCACCAGAGTAAAACGGATAAAAGCAAGAAAACCCCACGTCCCAGCTGGGCACCCCAGGCGGTTTGCTCCCTCAGGCCTTCGGCGACCTCCAAAAGCGAAGCGCGCGGTCAGATCTTCGGGCGGACATGCGGAAGCTGTTTGGGCCCCCTAATCTTTCCTGCACCAACTTGAAGGCCTCATATAGGTGGTGTCAAATCGAAAGCAAGCGTTTGTGGAGCTCTTTGACATGAAGACGAGCAAACTCAAGAACTGTCATGTCCTACACTGGCAGGGTCTCTTCAACAATTGAGCCAAGCCGTGAAGCTTGTGTCTATCAGGTTTGTTGCTTTCGGTGATGAGTTTCTGAAAGGGAAAGCTTCTGATTCAATATCAACATCAAGCCAACACGGCTTTGTGACACTACATACCGTAGCCTTCAACCCTTGCTGGTTTGGATTGGTTGGGATTTGAACCCCTTCTTGTAGAGAGTTGGGACACCACCCCCTTTTCCACCGGGCGTCAAGCCAAGAGGGAAGCTGAACCTTGTTTCTGAGCCCGACTGCCATACCAACAACCCCCCTCCCCCCCCCCCGGCAAAAAGCACTTCACATGAGCCGTACGGTGCTCTTGGATCGGAACTGGTAGTCGGACAGCAAAACCAAAGACCTCGTTTAGCACACCAACTTGAGTCGCAAACCTCACTGAGTCCCTGGCTGCGCGTCCCTCGGAATCGGGCTGCCGGTCTTTGGGAAAATGTGATCCATGTTGGTCTCACAAAAGTGAAGCAAAAAGCCCAGGTGCTTTCCATTCGGCACTTGGGCCAAATTCCCATGGCGTGAACAATCACTGGGCAGTTGGCAAATAAAGTATCCCACCCCCAAACTTGGTGGGGCTTTCAGTGAGACAAAGGCCCGCCCTCCTCGGAGGTCTGGGCTCCAAGAAACGAAAGCCGAGCCTCATGAAACGAACGCCGGGCTGTTTGTTCGTCCCAGCAAAGGCGACGAAGACACTTAGATGGTCTGGGACGAATCGCTAAATGGTCAACCCTAGTTGCAGGGACTTACCCTCCCTCCAACAATCATGGAAGTTGACAGGAGAGCTTTGGAAGACTACTTTCCTTTTGGGGAACCCTTTGTGCACTTCCACGATTGTTGGAAAGAGGGTACAAGCATTGCTTTGGTGGGTTACAAACAGGGTTATTCGCCATTCAGCGAACTCCCAGACCAAGCCATCATCTTGCCATCGCAGGAAAAACATCAAGGCCAACATGGGCACATAGGATTCGCTTTCTTCCAGCAATGAGCCAAAGCCCTTGCTCAAGGTTCGGAGGAGCGCTTCGACAGTATCAGACGTCAATGAGATCGTGACTCGGTTCTGGAAGGGCTTTGGAACCCTTATGAGCCTGATTATCCTCAAACCTGGCTGCTGAACCGCTGCTCCGTAGCGCCCCTGCATACCACCCAAGTTTATGGAACTCATGTCAAGTCCACAGACCATTGACTCGACCCTCCTTTTGTCATATCACCAAATGGGGACCCCACAGTCGCCATCCAAACACTTGTCCTTGGAGGATCCAAATCTAAAAGCATGCTTGGGGGGCGTGGGTATGTTGGGGACGTGAAAGGGAAACTTGAAAAAGAAAGTTAGGATGGGGTCAAAAAATGGCTTCGGTTCTTTGGCTTCCGCGTAGGAGCACAAAAAACGGCGTACCCCAAAAAACAGGACACAGGCGAAAGATCCTCGACTGGAGTTCTCGCCAAGAAGCAGCAACGCGGGTGGCTCCACCGTCTCTGTCGCTTCCCGAAGAGTTCTGGCGAAGACTTGACGGGACCCAATAGTTTGCCCCATAAATGGGTCTGTCTGTTTTTGGAGTTGGTACCCCTTGTTTGTGCAGTTTTTAAGGGAAACCTGCAGGACCCATTGATCCACAAATGTTTGCTCGAGCTTTCGTGGCATATAAGTGCGCGAGTAATGGTAAATGCAACACGTGCAAACACACGAATTGCGGGGCAGAGCTTTGGCTTTGCACACTTTGTGGAATTGCACCCACGTTGCCTCAAATTGCGCCTGAGTAGCAGGGAAATTGCGCTCGAGTTGCTGGTTCGTTTTCTCTCAAGAGCTTCACCAAAGCAGCTAGTTAACCTCAAAAAGTGCTCGAAGCAGGTCAATTGCTCGAATGCCAAAAACTGTCCGGAGAACCTTTTTTGTGTGTATCAAAGGGTCCTCCAGGAACCAAAAGGAAAACCCTCCCCCACACCCCTCACACCCGCCACCCGCCCCTTTCTAATGGTATTTTGGTGACTGTACCCTCACTCCCTGAGACTGCTGCTCATGTTTCCTTGAGGGTGTACCCTGATCCCTCCCAACAATATACGCCACTCATTGTTCATGTGTGTATATATATATATAATACTTGCTAGAATTGGTTCATAGCCAACAGGCTTGAGCAAAATGATAAAACAGTGATGTATCAGCGTGTACACTCCGAAAAGAAAGGCTAAAATTGCCACAGAACACATAAATGCAACTATGATGACAATCTTGCCTGCCGGTGGTTCAAATGGGTGGTCCCCCTGGATTGTGAAGAAAAATGGTCGGTTTCCAAACATGAGGGGAGGGAACCCATCCACAGGGTTCTTCTTGATGTTTTCTCACCGAGTCGATTTGCAAAAAGAAACAACTTGTTGTTTGCCACTAAGATGGTCCAACCCCCAAAAAGCGAAAAAGGACCCTCCATTTTTCCCATGCCTTTCGAAACAACTAACTTTTTGGAGAAACCACCAAGTCTGTCCATTGTTCACATTGGTGTGCCCAACAAAAGGAGAACTTTGAAAGGTGTTTGGTTTCCTTTTGGTCACGCTCATACGGACCATCCTTGGCTTTAGGCTGCCAATTGTGATACCCAAAAATGGGCATCGGATTTGCTTTGGTCTCCTATGCCCCAAAAAGGATGGCATGACAAAGACAACACCCCACCATTGTGGAACGATTGTTTGTTGAAATTTGCCCAGAAATTCCCAGTTTGTTTTTTAGCCACTATAGGGTATCGCCGCTTTCCCATGGTAGCGGTTTGGGGGCAGTGGAAATCTAAGAGGGAGACAAGTAGGTCACACTCCCTTTCAGAGGCCATCCAACACAGACCTCCCTCCCCCAAACACACCTCTGAACAAACTAAAATAGACCAAAAATTCTGCACCCACAAAACGGTGATTGTCCTTTTGGCTTCCTTTTCAAACCCTTAAAGAAGACGCGGGTGCCCTCCCCAAGAAAAGCGACAGACCCTCCGCAAGAAGCGAGCGGCACCCGATGCTGCCGGAGATGGGCAGCTTGCGGCCGTCCCTGCGGCGGTTTGGCGCGCGAAGGCTTTGGAAGGCGAAAGGTGTGGTTGAAATGGGTGTCCTGGTTGTTTGTCTCTTTTTTGGTGGGGGGGGGGGGCCATGGGCGCCCAATCGTTTCTGATGTGTTCCCTCTCTCTCTTTTTTTTGGGGGGGAGGGGAAGGTCTTTTTGTGTGGTTGCAAAGGGAGACCAAAAGGAAATCCACCATATTGGGGAGGGTCCCTAAGAAAAGACACACCCAAGTCCAAGTGCACAAGCAAACCCAAAACGAACAACCCCAACAACAAACAAAAAACAAACGCAGAAAAATAACAAAAAACAAACGGGTGTGAGACTTGTTTGAGGCTAACCCTTTACAGCTTGGTAACACAAGGGAAACCAAAAGGCAAACCATGGGCTTCAAGCCCCTGTTTGACACACACCCAAATGGACCCATACACCCCTCCTTCAAATTACACTCCTTCGCAAACATTTAGTTGGGAGTTCCATGTGGGTGTGTCGTTTTTAAGGTGAAAACCTCAAAGTGGCTTCGAAGTTCCTTTCGGCTTCACTTTAAAGCCACAAAAAAAATGGTCAATTTGCCGGCGAGGCCATCAACTCAAGTCAAGCTGGGCCGCGCACATTGCAGAGAGATTGCTTCTCGAGCGCATGCTCCTCGGCAGGGATGCGGATACTAAACGCACATCCACGGCAAGGGCGCATGTCATCCAACACTACTTGCAAGCCTCGAAATATGTTTGGTCCTTGTCCCTCCCCTCGTTTACGCAGTTGCATACGGGGGGTTGCGTGGGTGTGGGTGTGTGTGTGTGTGTGTGTGGTGGGTGTGGGTGTGCGTGTGTCGGTGTGCGGGTGTGTGGTTGTGTGGGTGTGTTTCTCTGTGTTTGTGTGCTTTGTGTTTGGTGTTTTGTGTTTTGTGTCTGGTGTTTTGTGCTTGGGGTTTGTGTTGTGCTGTTATTATGTTGTTGTGTTGTTGTGTTGTGTTTTGTTGTGTTTCGTTGTGTTGCGTTGTGTTGCGTTGTTTTGACGTGTGTTTTGGTGTTTTGTGCCTTGTGTTGTGTGTGTGTGTGTTGTGATTTATTGTGGTGTGTTGTGGTGTTGTGGTGTGGTGGTGTGTTGCGGGCGGGTGCTTGCGGGCTGGTGCTTGCGGGTGTGCAGGTGAGTGCGGAGTGCGTGCGTGAGCGCGTGCATGCGCACGTGCGTGCGTGCAGCTTTAGACACAGTCCCGCACAGGCCTCTGCATCTTTATTCCATGTTGCGCCTTTTCCTTCCCCAGTGTTGCTTGACGCAGTCCCGAGGGCAATGTCAACCATACATTTGGAAGTGTCATCTCTTGGGGGACCCAACTTGGCCTCGGGTTCCCCTTTGTTTTTTTCTTTCAAACCACCAAAAAGGGGTGGATCTCACTGTGACCTTTGAGGCAACAAACTTCCAGCCGGAAAGTGCTGGATTGCCCGCGCGCAAATCCAATCCACCTGTGCGTGTTTCATGCACTACAGTTGCCCAGCCCATCTGATTGTGGAGTCCGTCAGCGCGAGGAATCCCCACTTTAGGACTTAGGGGAGTCCAGTTGGTGCTGGCCCCGTTCTTATCAAGGTCAACCAGAAGGGAAGCCACCAGTTTGTTTCTGACTTCGTCCAGACATGGTCCAAATCATGACCCCAGTCATATCACTTCCAAGTGGCGAGCACCCAACTGTCCACAACCACGCCCCATTTGAACTGAGTGCTGCACGAGGTGGCGGGCAGGCCTGTCAGCTGGCTCACGGCCAGGACAAAACAAATTGCCCTCCCGCCAAGTAACAAGGAACCTGACAGGGACCCGGTCCCTGTAGAAGGAAAATGGTCTTGGACCCACCTGCCAGGAGGTTCCATGTCAATTGGTGGGAGGGCAACGGAACCAAGAGGGTCCAAGAGGAGATTCCTCTACACATTGGTTTTTTTTGAAATCCATGCTAATCTGCAGGAGAGTAGAATCCGCTTCGCACCAGCTGGATGAAACCCTACGAACACGGGATAAGACACCTACCAGCTGGTGCAGGAGGTTTGTCCAATTACTGTGTGTATCAAAATAGGAAGACACGCGGACTGGTGGTTTCCCTTCGCAAACAAAAGAAGGTACCGGGCAAGAGAACGCCAGTGCTTTTTGTATTTGTTGGGGGGGGGGGGGAAAAAATAGAAGAAGTAGGGGGCCTGGGGGGAAGTCTGTTGATGGTTGCCTGTTCTGGTTTTTATGTTCATCTCAAATCTATGTTCCCCCTTATTCGTTTTGAAAAGAGGGTTTTTAGGGAGCTTATTTATCGTTTTCGTTAAGGTAATCATTTGGGTAAATTGTCGCCTTGTTCATTGTTGGGCTAGGGGCAAACATTTTTTTCATTTGAAAGAGGTAGCCCTTTTAGTAGTTATCAAGTTCTGGGGTGTTGGTGGGTCGTTTGTTTCTTTGACGTTTATCTCTACAATTATTTATTTTTGTTCTACACTCTTGACAATATTTATATCTTCTTCCACTTTTTACATTTCCAAATTCATCAATTGTTTTATCATAAAGACATCTGTTGCATTTGAAGAATTCACCATAGTCTTCTGTTGCTTTTTCTTCTGTCATTCCATAATTATTCATTATAGTTTGCTTCACAACCATTTCTTAATATATCTTAACAACTTCTTTTTATGTGATTTTTATGTGATTGTCTAGTTATGTTTTATAGGTTGAAATTACAGTATAATGAAAGGTTATAAAAGTTTACACTGTTTAATCATATTATAATTAAATATTATGATTAAGCCATGAAATCATTGTTTCTGTTTTCTATAAATTTCAATTGCAACATGTTCGATAGTAATGATTTCGTGTCGTTTCATAGTCTGTTTGGTTTCTTCAACTGCTTGTTCAATATGGTATTGTAATGACGCTCTACTTGAAATCTTATTCTGTTTAGATGATGAATAAGAACGACTGTTGCAAATATTATTATTATACATAATTTTTGAACTAACTACTATTCCAACCTGTATTTCTTCATCATACTTCATCATTCTTAATAATTCTTTTGGTGGTTTCAACGCATATGAAAGCGCTTTATCACCTTTTAAGCATTTATTGCGAATCTCAACATAATATCTACTTTCTCCTACTCGTTCAGTGTAAATAGACGGTTTCCATTTCCTTTGTAATTCTCTTAAAGCATCACATTGTTTCAGTCTTCGCCACCCTTCACTACCATTAATGTAAGTAGTGATGATTGAAACTAAGCCTTCAGGTAAGCTAGCGCAATTCTCATCCATAAAATTATTCTCTGACATTTTACCCTTACTCATTTTTCTCTTAATATATAAGGCTTTTTCTCTTTAAGTAGTTTTGGCTAGGGGTTGCTGGTCGGCTGGTCTGGGTTTCAGGTTTAATTTAAATGTCTTAACCTCATTGTTAGATTATAAAAACTAGGTTTAATCATATTATAATTGAATAATATCATTAAACTAAATCACTCACGCTTTCCATCCACCTATTCCATCCCACCAGAATTCAATAATTCGCATCTGTCCATCTACTAGACTGTCTTCTGTGTTTAGTTTCCGTATCGCTCCCGATAAGATATAGTGATTAATAATCATAGCATTAAACTGCCCATCTCGGTTTAACTTTTTACCACAGTCTTTTATGATGTTTTCATCTGTTAGGTTTTCATACATTTCTTTCATGATGTCAAACCTAACAAATGAGTATATTGTCATCAAGTTTAATCCGCTATTATCCCTAAACCTGTTAATAACATCTTTCCAGAATTCTTCGTTTTCATCAACTGATGGCAAAGGGTGTCTTTTGACGAAATCCTTTATTTTGTTTAACTCGTCATCTAATTCCTTTTTATAACTGTCATTATCATCATCTTCTTCGTCTGATAGCACCCAGTTTGATAAGTCAGCAATCACTCCGACATTTTCAGTCATATTTTCACTTAATATAATAAGTTAATATTTCTTTAAGTAGTTTTTTATTTTATGTTAAGGGGCGGGGTTTTTATTGAAAAAATATTTTCTAACAATTTAATATAATGGCGAGATTAACAAAAGACCAAATAATCAGCAACATCTATTACGACTTAGACGAGGGTTTCGGAAGCACACAAGCGACACACAAGAAGGCAAAGGAAGAAGACCCAACAATAACATTAGACGATGTAAAGTCTTTCTTAAAGAAACAGCCAAATAAACAAATCAAAAATTATAGAGGAACTAATTCCTATACCGCTCCATTCGCACGATATGAATATCAAATAGACATAATGCATATGTCTCCTTTAGCAAAAGACAAGAACGTTCCACAGTATGCTTTAGTCGTGATTGACATCTTCAGTAAATTAGCAGATGTAATACCGATGGAGGAAAGAGACGGAGAGAACGTTTTGAAGGCGTTGAGAGCAAGCTTTAAAAAGATGGGTTATCCGATGTCCGTGTATTCTGATGACGACGGAGCGTTTGCAACTAAAAATCACGTTCAGGATTTCTTCAACAGTGAAGGAATAAACCACATCGTTACGAAGACCCACGCAAATGTGGCCGAGCGTTTTATTAGAACGATGAAAAACAAAATTCACGATAGAGTTAGGTTTAACAACATGAAATGGACCGACGCCCTAACGCCGGCATTGAAACAGTATAACAGCACATCTCACTCATCAACAAGGATGACACCGTCTGAAGCACACAAGGACGAGAATGAAATAAATGTAAAGGTCAATCTTAAACTACGAGAAAAAAACAAAAGAAAGTATCCCAGAATAGTGGAGAACGACAAGGTAAAAGTGTTTCAAAAGAAAAGGGGTAATTACACCGACAGAAAGGAGTATAACTCTAAATGGTCTAATAAAATATTCAATATCGATAAAATTGAATATGATATTATGGGTAATAAAACTTACAAAGTAGCAGGAATAAACAAACCGCTTTTGAGACACGAAATTTTGTTAGTTAATGATTAAACGTATTTCTTGGTGTCTTCTTTATACTTGACTTGATAGTAATCCAGACTTGATTGTTTAGGTTCTTTTATGATTTTTTCATTCAGTTTTTTAACATAAATGTTTCGTTTATTTTTGTATTCGCTACTGTCTCTATCTACTTCTTTTGCTTGATAATTGTTATTGTTATCATATGTAGGTTTAATATTCAAGCTCTTTAAGATTTTCAGTATGTTTTCATTTTGCTCCAACACTTTTTCTAATCTTGGAAACAACAACTCTAAACTACTGTCAATGTTCGCTAAATGTTCCTCCATATATACTAAATTATAAAACTAAACTTTTAAAACTAAATGTTGCAATTATGTTAAATCTACTCTTTAAATACTATTTTTTCATCATTTGTTTAACAGTTTCCTGAGTTTCCTTATCGCCACTATCGGATGGTGATGCTTGCCGACCCCATTTAAAAGTTATATTATGAACATCTGTTTCTAAGTTTATACTGTCTTTAGTTTTATCAATATTCATTTTCTTATCATTTCTACTTATTTTGAAACTTGACGGAATACACGAACATTTACAGTTGCCTTTCTTTTGTATTTCTAATTCATTTTTCATTTCTAACATCTTTTTACACATTGGACAAGCAAACTCAATAACTGATGTTTCTTTAACAATTTCTTCTTTTTCTTCATCAGTCGAAGAAACAACTGGCTCGGACTTATTCTTTTTCTTTCTTCCCATCTATATTAATATTTATATTTTTAATATATTGTATTCCTAACTTAATTAATTCTAATGAATAATAACAACATTTCTTAATTTTATTATCAGTTAGTATTACTTGTTCTATATTTTCTACTTTATCTATTATATCAATATAATCCGAATAACTTCTATTCATATAAAATAATAAATATAAAATATTTTCTAAATAACTTTAATATTATTTTATTATGTCTGATGTTCCAATAATAAAACCAATAAATATAACTGATTACGATTTCAAACAATCTAAATATGAACATGTACCAAAACTACCTTTTCGCTCAATTGTTGTTGCTTCATCAACGGGTGGCAAAACAGTTTTAATTCAAAACCTTATCCTAAATGTTTATAGGGACTGCTTCGCCCGTATATTCATTTTTAGCCCGTCGGTTCATAATGACCCTACCTTCGTTGAAGTCAAGAAATATCAAAAAGATAATATGAAGGTTGATGACGAAAAAGAAAAGTTATATTATGACACCTACCAACCTGAAGAACTGGAAGAAATAATTAACACACAAAGAAAGATAATTCATTATATGAAAGAACAGAAGATGAAGAAACTACATTCAATTTTAATCATTGTTGATGATTTTGCAGACGACCCTAAATTTGTTAGATACAGCAAGTTATTACATGGACTGGCAACGAGAGGCAGACACGACGCCATTAGTTTTTGCTTAAGTGTTCAAAAATATCGTGTCCTTGCTCCAATCATTAGGTTGAATTCTAGTTCGTTGTATATCTTTAAGTTAAAGAATGTATCAGAGTTAATGTCATTCATTGAGGAAAACTCCGCCATTGTTGATAAAGAGCAACTGTTAAATATGTATCATAAAGCGGTAGATGATAAACCATACTCCTTCTTTTATGTTAATATGAATTCCAAAGATGTTAATAATATGTTTTATGTTAGATTTGAAAAAGCATTTAAAATAAAATAAAGATTGAAATATATTATGATATTTTATGATTTACCATTAGACATTAAAAACCTTGTATTATCTTATAATTTAGGTGAT